GAGTCATGCACAGAAAATTGATTAGTAGATAAATAAATTTCACTGTAATATCGAGTTGTTGGTGATTTAAACAGTAGCTTGAGATATTTTTTTGAATTGGCTATTTTCTTCTAATTCATTGTTAGCATTGTTAGCTCAACATTAGCCTCTAGCCTTCTTTGCCTGATATTAAGACACGTGCGAACGCTGCAATATACAAGTAACCAGCAGGTAGAGTTAACAAAACGAGCGAGACACACTCAACATGCCTGGTTTAGAAGTCTTTCATTCTATCTTCAGTCCCGTTGCTGTCTTTTAACTGATCTTTTCTATTGACGCCATGTTTGTTTTGGTTGTACCCAATAAACACGGTTCTTTTTCTGGTCTGAGTTCTCTACTGTGCCCCCAATGTAATCATTCAGTACTACATGCACTGCAGTGTCATACAGCAGCAAGTATGTGGACAATGTTCGCTGCTTGCGCCAACGCAAAGTTAAACAGCAAGTCGATTCTTCTTCCGGCACTCGCAGAGAACAGACGCTTCTCTTTCTGCTCCCTTATCTTTTTTTCCCAAGGCTCTTTGTCCTGTCTGCCTACAGAGTGCTTCTCTGCATTTCTTCTGAAAAACCCTATTTTTCAACTATGGATTTGATAAATTGGTCATTCAGCGCAATTGATAAGATTTTTTCAACGATGAGAACAGAGCAGGGGGCTCCCACTTGCCCGCAAGGGACACACCCGGCAGGATATATGATGGATTCCTGGAAAGAGTGGAAGATCGTATGCCTCTCCCAGCTGTCCATTGAGGACGTCGAAGACGTGTGGATGTTTGGCCTGATGATCACTGGATTTCTTCTGATTGGAGTGGGAGGATATCTGGTTTTCTGGAAATTTGGGAAGACAGGAGCGATTGGAGGGTGACCTGCACCCACGGAGAGCACCGTCCGTGTGGAGACTTCTCAGACTGTGACGCTACTCGAGGTGAATCGCAAGCTGGACAATGTTCTAGCTGCGATACCGGTATTAGTGCGCAAAATGGATGCGGAGAGGGTAACCGGACGGTGTGGACATGTTTAAAAACCTAAATTGGCTTCACTGGAGGACTGGAATGATCAGTTAAAGACTGAAGGAAGAGAGGAAAATTATCTCAGTCTGACCCAAACAAAGTCTTGTTATCCGAATCTGACGCCATGGCAGCCTTGAGATGCCAACAACAAACCCCCACGAAGGAATGCAGACAGATGCTGTGAAAACCCGACCTCCCCCACCCCCACCCCTTCCCACCCCGCATTCGGATGGGTGGACTTCAGCCTGTCGAGGTCATCAACTTGCAGGAGTCAATGTACTCTGCGCTCCTCCCAAGATCTCCCTCCCACCTGTGGCTACATGTGATGGTGTGTTGTGCTGTTTGTTGCTTATCTGTTTCAGGTGTTTTTTTGCAGAGCAAAGCTGCCCTCCTGGTGGGAGAGTAGCTATGAAGTGCCTTTTTTCCCTCCTCCCGATTCAATTCCTCATGTAACCCTCTTATCTCTATTAAGGTAGCGCGACTCTGGGTTGCGAATGACCACAGTCACCAATTCTTGTCATGTGTCTTGCCCATGTATGTCTGATCTCTGAATTGTGTGTACTGAAACTCTAATCTCCCTCTGGGATTAATAAAGTATCATTGATTGATTGATTGATTGATTGATTGATTGATATTCCAGCCCTTAGGGTACAAGAAATAACTTCCCGGTCGCTCCTGCTCCTGGATTAGGATCTTTACAAAACACTGCTGGCCAGAGTAAAATTACAAATCCTGAATCTGCAGCGTTACCTTGTGCAAAGTCGACAACCTCGCCGGCTCGCAGACTCTAAACAAAAGCTACATCCCTGTTTAGTGTTTTTGAAAAAAGACAAACTGAAAACCTTCCAGCCAACTGAGAAGGAAAATAAACTTCCTTCAAACATGATTGAGACAAAGATGGTTTTGTGATTATTTCACTGTAAAATTACATATTATACATTTCATAAAAGAAACACAAATGCAAGACAATTGTTTCAGCATTTGTTACATTTTCACCCAACTGTTCCTTCTGTTGTTTAACAGTTAAAGGGTTTGTTTTATTATTATTTTTCAGGGCGGTTGTCACCTCCCACTTTACTTTAAGTACAAAGACACTGAGTGTTCATGAGTAGGTGGATGGAGACAACTCGCTGCTAGAATCTGAAATGTGAGAGGTTTGAACTACTAGAAGCAAAAATACACAAAACATTGCAAATTATTTCAAACAGCCTGTGCTCTTTATTTATTTATAATTCATGAATATGAGAAAACTAAGTGTAAAATAACTAAAATATAAAACATGTTTTCCCAACAGCATCATGCTCTGAATGAAGAGAGCCATCGATCGTAAATCCGACGACACGCCGTCAGACACGTGAAGCGGCGGCACAAATAAACAGCTGGAGTTATTTTTAGCTGGAATTACCAGAGAGAATGAAGGATAGCATCAGGATGCCTGAAATACCCAGCCGGCTCATTTTATTAAGCTCAAATAAGATATTTTATCCACTGCGCTGTACCTGACCTTATTTTTGCCTCTAATGCATGCTGGCTGCAGGATCAGCTGCACTTTTCTGTTGTGTTTGTTGCTTTTTCTGGTTTGAAATCATGCAGCAGAGAGATAAAACATTGTGATATAAGTGTTTTTTTTAAAAGATTAATGTAAATAATCCTCTTTCACATAAAATGAAATGGAAAAAACATGGATGTTTTAAAATCTAGTTTTCATGACGTCTGGTTATAATTAGATTGACTAAACAGATTTGATAAAGTAATTTTCACGATAAATGCTGAACTCACACCTCCCACACGACACTCATTATCACTCCTTGCTCGAGCAGCACCTTTTGTCTACTACTCTTCCAGGATGTGTTTCCACACCTTTACGGCCTCTTCATTTGTCCCCCCGGTGAAGAGCAGCAACTCCATCTACCGCTCAGTGAATTAATGTTTTCAGCCGGGATCACACTGTCATCACGTTAAACTCCTCTTGTCTTGGATTAAATATTAAGTCTGTCTCACAGCCCTTCTAACTAGATGTTTTGATCTTTTTAAGGCTGGAGTCGCAGCTGATATCAGATATTCAGACCATCTTGCAAATGCTGCAGAGACAGCCGACGCTTGGACCCCCCGCCTACAGCACTGTGACTGCTAGTCCAGACTATCAAAGACCTGCTGGGAAGGTTCAGCCAGTTGTTCTGACTGCAAGCCATTTTTACAGCCATGCCAGCACTCAAGTACGGATGCTATCTTTATTAAAGAGCAAGTCACCCCCTACCAGAGTATTACTCCACTCCCACTTCCTGTCTGAAAAATGCAACAAATGCTGTTGCCTAGCAGACCGAGAGGGCGGAGCCACTAACAAATACACATGCACACGGGCTCACAATGACATTGTGACATCATATGGTACCAACTAACATTCTAGGGTACCTCTTAGCCAATAGCGATGGCAGATTTAAATTAAAATGCTGTGCAGAGTTTTTACCTGACAACGGCACAACACTGACAGTTTTAGACAGAAAACTGAAATTTTAACTAAAATGCACTAAAGTGCAAAACTATTGACTACACGTGTCTGCAGCATGATTAGACACGCATTTGTATAATTTATCAGAAAAAAAAGTTGATTTGGGGGTGACTTGCCCTTTAAGAACACCATTTCTGTTTCACAATAAATTGTGTTTCCACTATAGCAGTTCCAGGAAATTTCGAGGAAGGAGAAAGTGATTGAGTGATACGATGGCTCAATCCTCTTAGCCCTTTTAGGGCTTTGCTAAGTCGTCAGCATATCGTGACATTTTTGACACTGAGTGATGTCACTGATCAGCACAAAAAGGTATCCAAGGATATTAATAACATTAAAAGTTTTATTCTGTCATACAAAGTCATGTAGCTGTGTGACGTAAAAAGTGTCGTTGAATGACAAGAAGAAGTGCTTTTTTTTTTACTACGGCCAAGAGTTTTAAAACACTGATTTTAAAGGAATACTTAGCAAGTTTTTTGTATTTATAATTTTTTTTTGAGCCAGTATATGCTAAAATGACCCTTTACAGGGTTAATGAAAGGCCACCCAGCGCCTATCGCCTCCTGTGGTCAGAATATTCCACTTGCAATTTCAGACTGGCAGGCCACTCTGTTGGGACTTGAGCTGAACTGCCTGGAGCTGCAGGCTGCTTCCAGCATGTTTCTTGCATGCTTTAGATCACGAACACAGCTGATTTGTTTAATTTAGTGATGAATCACTCCTGTAGACCCCAATGAAGGCTGGGAAGACATTCCAGCAGTTAGATTAAAATGTTAAAAGAACGAACAGCAAGGAGCTAGGTTTTGGTTTCAGTTCTACAAACGGACACTAGGGGGTGCTAAAAGCAAGCTAAAACCGCCTAGTTCCCCTTTAAAACAGCATCAACACTGCTTATGTTCTTTTATTCCAGGCTGCTTCACCAGCAACTCTTCCAATTTTACAAATACAAGTTATGTAGCGATGTCTGCTGATGTCATTTCCCTCTGAGTTACAACCAATAAGCATGTGTTAACCACAAGTCCCGCCCAGTAACTCTAACGAGCTATATCCGAATGCATTCCCTAGTTCAGTTTCTCAGTTGGTTCCTGAAATGACCCAAAAAATGGTGCTTTCGGGTGGCCGGCGACATGGAGATGCAAACATGCTGCGAAGGTCCGGTAAAATTACCCGGAAGTTCCGATAGTGGAAACAGGCTCTTATACTGTTTTTTCGCAAGTACCTTTCAACCTGTTCCTATCTTGTTCGCAGGGCCCCAGCCATAAACTGGAGAGCACCATTCAGGAATCCAAAGACTCTATTTCCAGCTCGGCTATTGGGAATGCACCCGTTGAAGACAGCCTTACAGCAGCAGCCATTTTTACACAAAGACATACGGACAAACACAAGCAGCAGCAGCAGATCACAGTGCATCAGCAGTCAGCACTGATTCCTCCTCCAGCTGCAACCTCTTCTGCCTCGTGTTCCTCTGTGCCGCCTTCTGACCCCGGCTCTTGCACCACCAGGCACCACAAACCCATTTCAGACCCAGAGTTTCTAAGGCCATGAAACTTTTCAGGAGCACCGATTTCTAATTCTGGGGTTATAATGCTGTAATTACTATGTAGCACCTTTGTTTGTTTGAATCAGCATGCTGACACAGCCATCTGTCCTGATAATTCACAATGGCTGTGTCACGGAAATGTTCACTTATTGTGCATGTGGATGAAACTGATTTTTGCATTTAACGAGATAGAAACGAGAGACAGTTCTTAGAAGATCCATTCACAATATCACTATCATTAATAGTCATAATATGGCATTTATTTCTCTCATTAATAATTGAATAACTATTTATTACAACATTGTAGTCTTTACTCATTTACATTCCATAAAAGTAATGGGGATTTCCAGCTATATTACCCAAAACCTTTTCCTCTGAGTCAGAAATGCCCTTTTACTGGGGTGGCACCACCATCACTACTGGTTTTACCTAAATTCAGGGATGCTTATGATAATACTATATTAGGAAACTTAATCAATTTTATGTTTCGCCATGACTTAGTGCTCATATGGGTTGCTTCCTGCGACCTTACTTCAGCTTTTAATGTCCAAGTCTGAACATCATATAGTTTACTAATGAAATCTCCCCCTAAATCTGAAAAAATGAACCTAAAAAAAAGAATGACACCATGAAAATTAGACAGTAACACTAACATCTCTAAATAAAAAGAGCAGACTGATCTACCTCACACAGGACAAGTCCTAATGACCTGCATGTTGGATACCAAAACATCAGATTAAATGGCATTTCTGTTCAAACACAACTGATGTAGAAAGATCCTCAGTTATCCAATAACGAGACATGAAAATGATAAGCATTTTTGGTGAGTGTCCAGATTGATATCAAAAGGAGAGTCTTACTGCCAGAAATGACTTTAAAAATATATTATATTCTTATTTTTATTTATTTATTTATTTATTTTTGCAATTGGCAAACAGGGATATGAAGGATGGAGGCAGCACCACACTGGCAACCTCTGAGAAACACAAACCAGCAGACAAGGAAGTAAACGAGAAATCTGCTGATGGACAACATGTTAGTCACAGCCTTAGTTTGAAATGTTTCATTTCTGCAGAAACTAAAAAAAAAAAAAAAAAGTTTATTATGAAGATTATCAATACTACAAAATGGAAATGTAAGCCCTTTTGAAGTGTGTTTCTAGTGTAAATGAGTTCCGGGATAAGGATTTTTTTATCTTCTGTAGCTTCCTGCATAGAGTTAGTGTTTATTTTCCACAGGACTGATGGTTTGTCTGAGAGCAGATTAGATAAAAGTGTATTGCTGCTGTTTTAAAATGCTCTAATCTCACGTTTTTTTACTCCACAATCAATTTTGCATTACACAAATTGTAGATTCTTGTTATTATTGCTTCCTGTCTCCGGTTATCAAAGAGGCACAGATTGTATATTGGGATCCAATTGACTAGCAACAAGTGACTAGGAATAAGTGACTAGTGCTAGTGGATCTTATTCCAACGTTGGTTTCTGTTAAACTGCTCCAAAATCCAAAATGTAATGCAAATAGGGCTGCAACTAACGATTATTTTCATAATCGATTAATCTGTCGATTATTTTTTCGATTAATCGATTAATCGGTTTGTTATTGTTTAGCTATTTAACCTATACAAGTGATGGATGCATTTCAGTTAAGAACAAAAAAACATAAGAGAATTGTGCAGTTGACTGCAATCTATTTTATTGCACATGAACACAGTCAGCAGTATAAAATGAGCTAAACAGTGCAAAATATCAGTCCAGAATAATTTTTAGCATTAGCTGGAAGCCTGCTCCTTCCACCATGGATAGTGGCCTCATGTCTTTTACCAGCATGTTTAGAATAGAGTTTGTAAGTGGTATGAATTGCTGGGGGGTGAGTGTCTTCTTCCCCATGTAGTTGTCCATCGTTGCTTGTTTTTTTCTGCATAAGAAACACAAATAGACTGAAATAAGTACACATATAAAATAAAGCAGCACACACACTACAACACTAAATCAATATTATATTATCTGAATTAATTAACAATATACAGTGATCATTTATTTTGAGGGTTACGTTCTACAAAATAGCCCGCAACAGGAGATATTCAGAAAAAAAGTAAAACATTTTTACTATTAAAAAGCTCTAAGTAAGAAGCTCATGAGGTTTTTACTTTGAGTCGGGAGTGTTTAAATTAGCCAGAGAAATGTGAAAAATGTTTATTTTGTGTAATACTGTTTAAGAAACATGATAAAAATGTGTTGTGAGGCGTTTTACAGCGTTAGATAGTAAAACAGCCTTTTAATAGTAAAAAAATTACTTTTTCTGAATTTCTCCTATATTTAAAAATTGAAAGCATACAACTATGCCGCGTTATATTCACCTGGACACAGCTCGTCTGTATATTTTTCTCCGCGGAGTTGTCCTTTTTTGAATGAGGAACATAGTTATGGGTTTGTGCCGTTTTTCTCTTAACGAGAACATTCTTATAAACAGACGTGCTAAATTTGGCAAGCGCATGATACACAACACGGAGGAGATTCACGATTGCATCTAGTCAATCAGAAGTAGAACACCGCAGACTGACGCGGCAAAAAAACATGTTTAACATCCACTATAACGAACTCAGCTAAAACACTAAGTCCAGCTTGTTTATTTTCTGTTACTTACCGGGCTGGCTCTTCCAAATGACGGCTCACTTGACCGCGGTGCTCTTCCTCTGCTGCATCAGCCCCCACATGCTTTCGTCTCAAATGTGCTCCCATACTCGTGAGGTTTTTGTCCGGGGTTTCTCTTCAGTTTTGTCGCTTCTATTTTTCTTCCGTATTTCCTCTTGTTCCGCCATTTTCTCACAGCAAGATGAGCGTCAGTAACGTGATACGTCATGAAAACCGAGGGCACCCATTGGCTCATTTCTTCTTCTACGGCTCCACTGGTAGATCAGTGGCTCATTACTGCCACACACTGGCGGCAAATTTAACAGCTTGTAACCGATGTCAGATTGTGGTAAAAAATAGACTTTATGCGGTAAAATATGATTATTAAACAACTAATCGATGACTAAAAAAGTTGTTAACTATTTTAATAATCGATTATAATCGATTAAATCGATTAGTTGTTTCAGCTCTAAATGCAAATGTTTTAATAGTTTTAATAGATTTGTTCTCTGCTGTTTATTTTGCAATACATGTAAAAATATTAACTCATCTCTCCTGCATGTTTCAATTGAAGCCCATTCCCGCCACTCAGATTAACAAAAGATTATCTCATTATAATGAGATAGCTAAGTCATAATTATGAGATAATATTTTTTGAGTTTTTTTTTTATCTGAGTGGCAGGAATGGGCTTCCATATATTTCAGATAACATGCTTGTAATGAGGTGGTAGTAGGAAAAGGGCAGCGGTGTAAATGTTTATAAAATTACATTTGCATAAACTACAGTAAATGTAGTTTCTTGTAATTGGCGGAGTTTTACAGAGCGGGTTCACGGAGAAACACTGAGTTTAAAATGCAGGCTGAACATGAACATAGTCTTCTACCCTTTTTTCCTGCGATACGCACCGAAGGAAAAAGACACGCTCGGGTCGGAAAAAGACACACAGATCTACATCACTCACTGAAAATTAGGACTCGCCCATCTTGGCTCACAACCAAGGAAGGCTGTTTTTTGATTCAGCGTCCAGGAGAAAGCAGAGTGTGCCTTGGCTAGTAGAAGCTAACCGTTAGCATTAGCAACTCCCCCACACGACAGAACTCCTTTAGACTTGTGTTCTTAATGGAAATAAAACATCAGTGTTATGGAAGCATTGGAAGAGTTGAGCTGTTAGCCAATCAGGGACAAGATTTCCTCATTTATGTAGCGCCAAATAAGTCATCTCAAGGCGATGTCATGAATAATGAGTTAAGAATCCAAATACGCTCTTTTATAAGTTGTCAGCAATACACCTTGTTCTTGGTTGCAGTCATTATGGTTGTTAGCTCATCGGTCCTGTGCACCATGAAGCATTTTTTCTGAATTGAAGCTGCTCAGGACTTTATCTACAGTGTGTAAACACCAGCTATTTATAACTTCTACACAGAAACATGCTTCAAAATGGCCCACATCTCCTCTTACTGTACAACACACCTGATCACCCATTTGATTTACTATAGAAGAAGCAGGCCAGATAAAAAAGGAAGCTTTCACTAAAGATTATAGATGCTGGATGGTGACAGCCCATTAATCTTTTCAAGTCTGGCTGGCAGCTAGCAAGCACAGATGTTTGTTCAGACAGTTGACCTATGTAGCCAGAGCCTTTGAAACAAGCGGGTGAGCCAAAGCAAAGCCTGGCACAGCTTTGTGCAGCCTGAAGTATGATGAGGTGACTTTGTTGCAACAGGAAAAACGATGACACAGTCATTCTTTTCCACCCCGTTACTAAAAATTGTTGCATAGCACCTGACACCGAGCTCTCTGACAAGGCAGTGGAAATGCGTGCGGTGAATTTTCTCTCCTGGGACGGAGGATGCTGCATGAATCTGTCCACGCGTACCCTCAGCAGTCAGCGCTGAACCAGGTCATTAAAGTTGGAGCCCATTTCCAGTCTAAAGGTGGTGTTTTCTGCATCTGTTGGTATAACACACCATTTTCACCAATGTGTGAGAACTATTTTCTTTTCCTTTGATGTATACCTGTCTTCTCTGATGTGTGACTCAGGGGTTTTGGAGAATTGCACTGTAGTACATTACAAATTCAAGTATACTAAAGAATCTTTAAATAAATAACATATCTTATTCTTATTATTATTATTATTACTACTAGTGCAGTCATTGATGTGCACCTACTGTAAAACGTTAAGCTAAGAGAAATCATCATACATGCTTGTTTGGGCAAATATCATTACACACAGATTTGAGGATTATCTGCTGTTATCCCAGCCTTGGACACGCAAGTATGATGCAGGCGTCTCTTCAAAGCAGTGCATGTGTTATAAAATCTATTTATATTTACTGGTTTGCACTATTTTCAAGCCCAACGTAGCAAACTACTAACGATGTCAATATATGCGTCCTTCATTTAAGGCCTGAGTTAAGGAAGGAAGAAAGGAACCCTCGAGATTCACCAAAACTAATGTTAGCACTTGCACATAAGCAAGCCCCGCCCCCTGAAAAAAGTCTTTGTGCCTATACAACCAGATCCAAAAACCAAGCATCTTTCTGTTTGACTTGGCATACATTGGTGAATCCTGCTGTTTTCCTTCTTTTGTTTTTTTTTTTTTTTATTCTGGTTCATGTATATTTAACTAAGCGAACTTTAGGCGTTTGTAGACAAACATCTCATTGTAAGATGTTGATATGGTTCTTATTTATTTTTTACTGAATGAATTATTTAAGAGATTCTATAGTAAAAACAAAGTTGTGATTATGCTTGTTTCGAAGCTGTGAAAGCAATAAATGAAAACAGTCCAATTGAAATTGTGTCTAATTATAATAACATTGAGATGATTGTATGGCCTTTACTGGGATTATTATGTGTGTACATGTCATAACGCAATCAAAACAATGACTTTTAGAGCAATTAATCAAGTGATAAATGATATATAATGTGATATGAACCTTTAAATGTATGGAAAAGAATTGAGATGAGAGGTTTTGGACTACGTAAGGCATAAAGAATGACTCTGAACAGGAATTTGAAGGTCTAAACTGAAATGTAAGATAGACTAAACAAACTGGAGCCACGTTTTTACAGTGTAGTTGAAGTGAAGTGGGGCAGAAGACAAACTTTAAAGAGCAAGTCACCCCCAAATAAACTTTTTTTTGCTGATAAGCTAAATAAAGGAGTGTCTAATCGTGCTGCAGACACGTGTCGTCAATAATTTGGCACTTCAGTGCATCTCAGTTAAAATTTAAATATTCTGCCTAAAACTGGCAGTGTTGTGCCGTTGTCAGGTAAAAACTCTGCACTGTATTGATGTTAGCTGGTACATTATGATGTCACAATGCCATTGTGAGCCTGTGTGGGTGTATTTGTTAGCGGCTCCGCCCTCTCAGTCTGCCAGGCAACAGCATTTGTTGCATTTTTCAAACTTGAAGTGGGAGTGAAGTAAGTTTCTCGTAGGGGATGACTTGCTCTTTAAACATCGTCAAAAGATTTTTTTTCCTGAAACTGATGACATGAAAGTTCAACATAATTTGTAATGTGTTCTACAACCAGGTTTTTGGGGGAATTGCACCGTAGAGAAAGCTTATTTTCCTCCTGATCTGTGTAAACAGCATTCACTGTTTGCAGAAAGATTTGGAAACGACTGACAACACAGCTGTCGCAGCAGCAATTACATTGGTAACACATTACAATAAGGGTCCCTTTCTAACATTACTAAGTGCACTACTAAGCATTAACCCTTTATAGGGCCAACATCTATATTTAGACACTTCCACTCACATCAAGGGTCCTTTATTGTGTTACTATACAACAGAGCCAAAAGGGAGAATAAAAAACAAAGAATAAAGAGCAAAAAAAAAGAAAGCATAATGCAGACATACTTTTAAAATAAAATAAATAAACATAGAAATATTGAATATTTACATGTTTTAAGAAATAAAAAAATGAAACCAAATTGCAGAGTATTTACAGGGAATGGGAAAATCAATGGAAGAAATAATTTAAGCAGTATAACAGAAAATGTTCTGCACTTAAATAGAAAAGCCCTAATGATACAAAAGTAGATTTGCATTTACAGAAGTGTGAGATTCAGATTTTCTGGGACTTGTAAAAATATTGTGTTGCAACAGTGCCACCTAGTGGCATATTTTGGTTTTGATTTCTGCTCAAACGAAAGTGAAACAAAACAGCTGTTTTCCTGGAAAACACGAGGGCGGTAAGTGACCATTTAAGGCGTTCCCCGTGTCTTTAAACCTCTTCATGACTGTAGGTGTGTTGTTCTCGGACAGGTGAGGGATCATGGAGCCTGACAGGGGTGAAGAGCAGCTCGCTGAAAACTTAAGACAGCGACTCCGGATCATGGAGCCTGACAAGGACGAACAGCAAGAGGAGCTCATTAAAACCTTCAGACATAGACTGAAGGAAAAGATATCAGTGGGGCCGGTGCTGAACCATTTATATTTTATTTCACATGAAGATAAGGAGCGGATTTTGCAGAAGCTGAAGACAGAGGGTGATGCATCTGCTGCGAACCAACTTATTGACGTTGTCCTTAAGAAACCACACCCTGAAGGCTGGTTCAGGGCCTTCGTGGACGCTTTAATACATGGAGATTCGAAATACGCTGCTATGGTCTTGGAAGGCTCTCCTAAACCCGAGGAAGAGGAAGAGAATGACTACTGTGTAGCACTTGTGAGGTTACTGGCTCCAAGTCTTGTTCAAATGAAGACAGCTGACGTTTGCTGTGAGTGTTTCTCTCTGGGGCTGCTCGGCCAGGACGACAACGACAAGGTAAGTCCATTCAGTTGTCTGAGTAGCATTTATCTCTTTGGCCACTAGATGGCAGCAGAACGCAGTCTTGGATTCTGTTCAGGTGAATAAATCCACTTATTGTGTCTAAACTTACATCAAGGTTTTAGCTGAAATTGATACTCAAGGACCCGGACGTGGGGCCGGGGAACTTCTGAGGAGAATCGTGAGACGCCCACCTGGATGGTTCTCCACATTTCTACAAGTTCTGAAAAAAACAGAACACTATCCCCTACTTAGAGAACTGACCGGAGACCCACATTGGTGTGAGCAGCAGGGTGAGACTGGAGCACTCATTGATCACGAGACAATTTTTTTGCACACTTTTGGCATCTTTAATTCATCTAAGCAATCAGTATCAATAGCTATTCACATTTTTTATAATGTCAGATAGTTCTATTGTTGTCTTTTGTTAAAGTTTATGTCTTAATATACTCATACCATCTTTAACTATGGACTTGCAGGTCATTCAGGTGCAGCTTCCGGTCAGGAAGCAGTGAGCTGTGACAACACAGTGTCTATGGAGATCAGTGTGACAGAGGAGCCTGATAATGACTCAACAGGTTATAATAATAATAATAATAATAATAGTTGATTTTGTCCATTTTCAGTATTATCATCTTCCACCAGAGGGCAGAAGACACACAATTTAGTTTAGCATGTATTTAAAGATTGATCTCCAGCTGCTTCTGTTGTGCAGAAATCACGCTAAAGTATCCCGTGGTACTGCCTTGTTGGATATTTTAGGATCAGCCTGTGTCTGATTAAAACATTAAGAATGAATACAAATGTATTTTTTGAACAGACAGCACCAAGTTTAGTAGGGCAGGTGGGGGTTCGCGTTTTGTTACATAGCTGTATATAGCAGCATGCAGAGCCCAGAATAAAGTTTAAAATTCAGCCACTTGAGTTTATTTGAACTAAACTTGGTTTATGTTTCAGGTCTGTATGCAAGTGCTGAACCGTCCAAAAGCATAGATGGCTTGCCTCCAGGTGGGATTCATTCACTCTCCATTTCATGGCATTAAGACCCCCAAACTTAGTAATAAAAGAAAATCTGTTTGTTTATCCACACTAAACTACTTGCAAAAACTTTGCTCTTGTTCCAGGAAAATGCAAGATAGTGTTTGTTCAGAATGAAATTAGTTGGAACATTTCTATAGCATCAATAAATAAGTTCCATGTGTTAACCGAGGAACCGCAGAGAGGTCGTAGAGGGCGGAATATGTTGGCGCGTCAAATGAAAACCACATGGTGAATCCATTTTAATGGATCTTTAGGGGAATCTGTGAAGTCCAGCCCTCCACAACACCTCTGGGCTTTTACGTCATAAGTTCATTCCCTTTCCAGCTCCTTAGGGGAGACCGAAGGAGAGGTTAGAAGATCTGATCTCCTGTCAATCACACAAGAATGCTTTTCCTCTGTCTTTAAAGTATTTTTGGACCAACCGGGTTTTGGGAATGTTGCCGGAAAACCATAAAGACACAAGTACACTCCTAAGAAGTTAAATTTGTTTGACAGAGTTATGTCAGCTGGTTCCACTGAAACTGTTGATTTAATTTAAATAATAATAAATATTTTTATGTGTTGGAATGTTAAAAGTACATTTATATTACTCTTACATTCAAAGCAACACTTTATACGTTTTCTGCTTCTCCTATTGGTTGAAAGTCAAAGTCAAATGTATTTATAAAGCACATTTAAAATAGCATGGCAGCCTACCAAAGTGCTGAACTGGAAGGGTAACGAGTCAAAACAGAGAAAAAGATTAAAACACATAACAAACAATAAATAGTAAAACCTCATTTAAATAAGCAATGAGGGGGAAAACTGTCCATGTTAAAGACATACAAACAACCTCAACCATGCGGCGTACTACTGGGTTGAGTATCCCACAGTCAAGGTAGATTAATGGCCCAAAGCCATTTTAAAATGGTGATTTTTCAGGGCAGAGTTAAAACATGCTAGCGAGGGAGTCGGATAGACAGACAGAGGAAGAGCGTTCCATCATTTCAGAGCAGCAAAGCCCGTTCATCACATGATTTATATGGGAGAACAGCAAATGCAGAAGGTAGGGATCTTGTTGGGGCATGCCGGTTTAGCTGTACAGACGGGGGTTGCGGTGCTTGTTTATTGAGGACTTTTAAGTGAAAAGAACTTTGAATTGGATCCTGTAAACAGCAGGCAGCCAATGCAACTGTTCCAGCATGGGGGCGATGTGATTCCTTCTGTTTGAAAGCGGAATGGCATCCGGAGGAAAGAACCCTTCTGCAGCATGCTGTTGCTAGCGCTAACAGTGAGCTAACGCTAACATGAGCTAACTCATTAAATAAGCTATGAAGTAAAAAGATCCACACTTCTGGACAAAACATTGTTACTTACGAGTCCAGTAGCAATAAAGCCAGCTCACCATCAGTCTGTGATTCTGTAGCCTCCTTCAGCTCCCTCAAACGAGTGTAGGCCACATCGATGTTCACCTGGTTTTAGCACTTTGCCTCTCCTCCAAAGACATTACTTTCTTAATTTTACTCCCAGGCTTCGCCGTGATGCCAACAAAGCAAAATTATTGTTTTTTGCTGACTGTCGGTGAACTGAAAAAGCTAACTGCTAGCTTTTACATTAGCTGCTGGCTAAACAGTTCAGATGTTGCCATAAGTAGGTAGAGACTTCCCACTAGTGCACCTACCCTGAACCACAAAACCGGTAAGTGCAGTTTCTGGTCAACAGAGGGCAGCAGAGTGCTGTCCATTGTGAATTTGTTTAATTTTCTGGGTCAAGAACCACTGAAACCAGTTGGAAAACAATGTTTTAACGTGTTACAAACTCTAGGGTTTTGCTTTAGGCAAATAGGTTTAGTTGACATAACTTGTTAAGAAAATTTAACATTTCATTTCTCAGGCTGTAAAACAGGCCGCAGGTAAAACATGAAAGTCACAGGAACATACACTCACCTAAAGGATTATTAGGCACACCATACTAATACGGTGTTTGACCCCCTTTCGCCTTCAGAACTGCCTTAATTCTACGTGGCATTGATTCAACAAGGTGCTGAAAGCATTCTTTAGAAATGTTGGTCCATATTGATAGGATAGCATCTTGCAGTTGATGGAGGTTTGTGGGATGCACATCCAGGGCACGAAGCTCCCTTTCCACCACATCCCAAAGATGCTCTATTGGGTTGAGATCTGGTGACTGTGGGTGCCGTTGTAGTACATTGAATGCATCATCATGTTCAAGAAACCAATTTGAGATGATTGGAGCTTTATGACATGGTGCATTATCCTGCTGGAAGTAGCCATCAGAGGATGGGTACATGGTGGTCATGAAAGGATGGACATGGTCAGAAACAATGCTCAGGTAGCCCGTGGCATTTAATCGATGCCCGATTGGCACGAAGGGGCCTAAAGTGTGCCAAGAAAACATCCCCCCACACCATTACACCACCACCACCAGCCTGCACAGTGATGGATCCATGTTCTCATTCTGTTTACGCCAAATTCTGACTACCATTTGAATGTCTCAACAGAAATCTAGACTCATCAGACCGGGCAACATTTTTCTAATCTTCAACTGTCCAATTTTGGTCAGCTGGTGCAAACTGTAGCCTCTTTTTCCTATTTGTAGTGGAGATGAGTGGTACCCGGTGGGGTCTTCTGCTGTTGTAGTCCATCCGCCTCAAGGTTGTGCGTGTTGTGGCTTCACAAATGCTGTGCTGCATTCCTCGGTTGTAACGAGTGGTTAAGTCAGTCAAAGTTGCTCTTCTATCAGCTGGAATCAGTCGGCCCATTCTCCTCTGACCTCTAGCATCAACAAGGCATTTTCGCCCACAGGACTGCCGCATACTGGATGTTTTTCTCTTTTCACACCATTCTCTGTAAACCCTAGAAATGGTTGTGCGTGAAAATCCCAGTAACTGAGCAGATTGTGAAATATTCAGACCGGCCCGTCTGGCACCAACAACCATGTCATGCTCAAAGTAGCTTAAATCACCTTTCTTTCCCATTCTGACATTCAGTTTGGAGTTCATGAGATTGTCTTGGCCAGGACCACACCCCTAAATGTATTGAAGCAACTGCCATGTGATTGGTTGATTAGATAATTGCATTAAGGAGAAGTTGAACAAGTGCTCCCAATAGTCCTTTAGGTGAGTGAATTTCAGACGCCACCTCATGACTTTACCTCAGGTTTTAGTTTGCTCATGTAAATGGAATTTGGTAAACTGTTGGAGTTGTTTTTGTGATATCCGCCTGCAGAGGAGGTGAAGTTTGAGCAGAACAATCTGAGTGTTCTCAGAAAAGAGCTGGAGTGAGACTCCAAAGAGCTGCCTATTCACCTTTTTAGTAATTACAGTGTCTGGGAACTGCCGGTAAAAGTTTACAGGCCCCCCACAGACCTAATACTTCTTCTTAGTTTAATTACTTTTAAGGCTCTATCTCTCTATCAGGAACGACTTGTGTTTATGTACATGCAATTCCTCCTGCGGCACATCGAGTCTGAACAGGAAAATTAAAAACTGTCTGCACAGAGCTGGAAAAAAAGAACAATTTGTGTGGTTATGAACTCACAGCTGAAGAGGAAGCGTGGAACTGGTAGCAGAAAGTGGGAAATTCGACTGTTTCTACTGAACGCAGACGGGTCGTCCGAGTCAGTGCCTGTCAGCAACTTTAAATCAGAATGAGGTGAAGCATGGTTGTGCTTGGACCATATTGTACCACATGAAGGAAGCGGGAATAGCAGTACAGAGATGACTTAGGTGTATTTTTCCATGCACAATAGTTTTTTTTTTTCTTTTTTTGGTTTGCAAACATTTTATCCGAAGCCCCCATTCCTAAGTTTATATGTACTGTCTAAGACGGAGCTGATCCTCTCAGACTCTGTGGTTTTACTTGGGAATATTCAGAGTTATGTAACTAAAGTTTATGCTTTCCAGGAAAACTTTGTACATTGCATGTCTGCATATTTCTACCTTTCCCAAAACACCCTTAACAGGACATTCCAGCACAGTGTGTGAATGTGGTTTGCTGACATGGATGCAACTTCTGTTCCGCCTTGCAGATTTAAGTTACTCTGAAGCAGCCGCAGAAGCCCCCAGAAGCCCTGAAAAAACAGAAATTGTTCTTCGGGATTATCAGATGGAAGTCGCTAGACCTGCCTTAGAGGGGAAGAACATTATTATATGCCTGCCTACAGGAAGTGGTAAAACCAGAGCAGCGGTGTACATTACCAAGAAACATCTGGACAGCAGGAGGGAGGCGGGGAGCCCAGGGAAGGTGGTTGTCCTGGTGAACAAGGTACTTGAACCCAAAGTTGGTGCATCTGGCCTTTCGTCGTAATACGATCCCTCTCGTGTCCATTTTAAAATGTTCTCTTGCAAATGTAGGTCAGCTCACCACTAATTCTATGTCATGAGGTTTAGATATTCCCGTGCACGCTGTTATTGTTTGGCACAATCCCTTTTGGGGGAAAAAAAAAAGTTGCAGGAGTCTAAAAACTTTCCAACTGGATGGCGTTATAGTGGAGCAATGTTTATTTATTCCTCAAAGCAACTTTACAATTAGTTGGTCGGGTTTGTGCAGAAGAGGGCGTCTCCTCCTTTTGTAAACAAAACAGATTCTTCTGTTTAGCTGTGGTGTTAGCTCTGTGGCAGTGGAACAATGCTTTAAAATCTTAGGAATCCAAAGGATTCTGTTTAAAATAAATTAAATGTCATGTTTCCTTTTGCCCTACAGATTCCTCTCGTGGAGCAGCATTACTCCACTGAGTTTTTGCCTTACTTAAAGCAAACTTACCGAGTGGAGAGAGTCAGTGGAGACTCCCAACTCAAAATCTCTTTCGCCAAGACTGTGCAGAAAAACGACATCATCATTTGCACGGCCCAGATTCTGGAAAACTATTTGGAGCGGGCCGAGAACGGAGAGGATGAAGGGGTGAAGATGAGTGGTATGAGCTCTACGTCATTTTACTGTTTGGGCCCAGAAACTTAACTGTGGGTCTGAAGTTCAGTACGTTTGGTCTCAAACACACAAAAGTTTGAAGATTTGGAGATTTATTCCATGATTTTTGATGTAATTAAATAGGAATGCATTGGGTAGAAAGGGTAGAAAATATTAGATTATAACAGTTTGTATAAAACATTACATGCATACTTTATATGTTATAAGTTTTGGAAGCTGGTAAGACTGGAGAGAGGAAAAGTAAAGAAAAATGAAAGAAAAACAAAGCTACCTGGTCTGAGCTTGGCAAGAAATAAAAACAACGGTTTATGTGAGAAATATCAAATTCAGACTGGATCTGATGAGGTGCAACCATAAATCTCAAGCAGAGATAGACCGATATGGTTTTTCTATTGTCGATACCGACATTTAGAGGTCATTGTAAGCCAGTGGCCGATATATGCTGCCGATTTTTTTGGGGCCGATTTTCATGGTCAGTGTTTAGACGTTTTCCACCTAATCTGTTGGCTAAAATCTCACTAATAAAACAGTTGATGCACAACTTTCAACACGGATCTTAACAAGCTCTTTAATCTTAATTTTTCATCCCTAAAAAGGGTAAAAATCGTCCTGATATATCAGCCGACTGAGATATTGGCCCATCCCTAATCTAAAGTAACGAGTAAAAATGCAGTTAGACCAGCTGGAAAAGGAAAGAAAAAGAAATCAAAACTTAAACATAAAAACAAAACAAGACCAAGCACATCGTCTAAATCCAGCAACACAAACCATTTGGTTTCAACTATATTTTCAGCTGAAATCAGTTTTAAACTAAGATGATTTCAGTTTGAGAAATGATGGAGTTGCTTGATCTTGAGTTTTTGTGTGGGGGTGACTCATTTGTTATCTTCCTATTCAAATAATCCCACCCCGTGAGAATTCTAACCGAGCCAATCAGCGCTGAGTAGCGTATGTCACACACCATAATGCCGAGTTTATCATAAGCATGGTGACTGAAGCGGGGTTCGCTGCGGCTCTTTCCTCTGGTCTAAATGACTTGGACACAACAAGTAGCAGCGCTAAAAGCCTTTCTTCTAAAGAAAGATGTTTGCGCTGTCGTCAGACTCCATTTTTACTACAGCTAAAAAACTACAGCGTCGCTGACATCACACACAGCGACGCTCGGTTTCTCATAAACAACAAAGACAGCGGCAGAGTTCGCTGCGGCTCTTTCCTCTGTTCTAAATGACTCAAATGTCTTTAAAACAACAAGTAGAAGCGCTAAAAAGATTTCTTCTAAAAAAACAAATTTAATAAAAGATATTTTCACCGTTGCCAGATGCCTTTTTTTTTTTTACTACAACTAGAAAACTGCAGCATCGTACGTACCGTACAATCGGGATTTCCGTCTTTTTTCTGATTGGTTATTTTTGAGCTGGCTAGTCCCGCCTCTCATGGTGCTCTTTGCCGAGAGTTACCAGACTCTTTCTCTGTGCAGAATTCAACAGAGGACGAGTCTGGCAGGGCAGGCTACTAAAAACCTGTCCTGGACTCCACTTCCGACACGTTCTGGAATAAAATGCCACCCAGAGGACTCGGAGCAGGATTTCCCCCGACAGGATCCTGTCATGTCTTGTGTTCGCTCCTGTTGGCAGTCACCAGTCCAAGGTGGAATAGCCACCTCAGAGGAGCATATGCTGTTTGTACATTTTTTTTCCCCTCCTCCTGGTTTCCAGGCCACACGTCTGTTCAAGCCATCAGTGTGTGGCTGATCAAATTCACATGAGAGCCTCCATCATAATACATCAAGCTGCCACTCGGCATTCCCTTTCCCTCTTGGGACAAATTTGAATCTCAACGTCAATGACTTGACTAATAGTAACATACGTGCTTGATTGGACTTTTGCAACATGAAAATTGGGTGAAATGATTTTTTTTAAAGCTGAGTTTAAGAATGATTTCATCTTTCTGCGCAGATCTGACCTTAATCATAATAGATGAATGCCACCACACGCAGAAAGGAGGAGTCTACAACCACATAATGATGCGATATTTGATGCAAAAGCACAAGAACTTGAGGCTCAAGAAGGAGCAGAAGAAGACCGTACCCCTCCCACAGATCCTAGGCTTGACTGCCTCACCGGGGGTTGGGGGAGCCAACACAGTGGCGAAGGCTGTGGAGCACATAATGAGAGTAAATACTTACCTTACATTTCTTTCTGGATGTTCAGCCCTATTTATGAACGATTTCTCTCTGTTCATTATCTTGTTCCTCAAACCAAACGTTTTGTGAACTCTACAAATTTTGGACTTTTATTTAATTTTTTTAATAGATTTGTGCAAACTTGGACGCTTCAGAAATCATGACGAGAAGCCAAGAAGAAGACCGGAAGCAACAAAGAAAAACTATTCTGACTGTTGAAAACAAAGCAGAGGTGAATTCACGCAAAACAGTTTTACAATAAATGTCCTCGCATTTTTCATTTAAAGCTGAGGTACGAAGTTTAGATTTTTCAAGTAACTTATAAAATGCTTACACTTGACTATCTGGCCTTGTTCTATGATATAAAGAAGGTCATATTTCATCATTTATATTTTCCCTAAGGCTCTCCTCAGCAAAACAAATCATTTACGCAAGCCAAGAGCGTTGACCAATAGAACTGTGTAGAGGGATCTGTCAGTCATCAAAGATGCACTCCAGTCATCTTAGCACACCAACCTAGCTTAAATGCCAACTCGACCTGCATTGAATCAACTTCTGTCTGTAAACTTGCCCCTTACCCACTCGCATCGGCTCCACACCACTCGGATAGCCCCAGTCAGCTCCATCCTGGCCCAGTTGATTCCACAAATCCTTGTTTAGGAATGCAGTCAGATATGTCCTCAGCTCCTAGGTAATCAACACGATAAGCCCGGGTGGGCTGATTCCACCCACCAACCGGAGGCTTCCCCTAATGGAAGGTGTGAATTAGAGCCAGTTTGTCAGTCAGCACTGGGTGTGTTGGCCCTGGTCAGCCTGAAGCAGACCACCTCTGGGAGAGGGCTGAAAAACAGTCTGGTTGCACCCTGATAGCAGGCAGGCTGTGCTAATGGAGAAACTCTATGCTATCCAGACCATGCAGAGCCGATGCTAGTGTGACAGTGGCACAATTATTAAAAAAAAAAAACACTACAAACAATACATTTTAGTATTTCAAATTGTAGTACATAGTTACAACAAAAGTAATGGCGTAAAAGTTACTTTTTACAGCCGATTTTCATTTAGTTTCAAAATATAACAATTTTGCCCAAAACACATTATCTGAGTTATTTATCTCAATGACAACAAGAAAATATTTGTTTAAGAGTTTCTTTTCAGCTAATTATGCAAAATTATCACAGAGGGCTCCACCCTCAGCAGGGGGGGGGGGGGGGGGGCAGAGGGGGGCCCAGGCTTGCTGTGGCATTAATTGCACTAATAGAGCGTCCAAGGAGTCTCCACTTCATTTTTTTCGGTAAGTAAAATTATATTTATGTATTTTAGGTCACTGCCGAGCTGAGCTTAGACTTTAACATGTACTGTTTAACCATGAAATTTAAATGTAATAGGGTAAAACCCAGTGCATTTAACATAATGCTGCACTTCAGAAAATGGGTTGAAATATAACATGTTGGTGGAGCTGGGTTCCGACTATCGGCTTGTGGAGCTCTCGGGAGACCGATGTTTTCCACCCGGAATGCCGGCTGTTTCTCCCTGCAGCCCGGTCCATCTCTGTCTGATCGCGGCTTCTGTGTGCTGCGCGCGGGCTGACGGTTGGTTCTTATGGCAAGCCAGAACCGCCAAAATATGCCACTTCTCTCCGCAGCTCGGCGCATCTGTCTGATCGCGGCTTCTGTCTGCTGTGGCGGGCTGACGGCTTGTGGAGCTCTGGGATGGAAACCTTTCCACCCGGTTCTCCCAGCGGCAGCTCTGCGCAGCAGCGCTTGTCTGCTGTGCGGCTGCCGGCTTGTGGAGGTCTCCGAGACCTCTGTGTTCCACCCGGTTTTACCCAGCGGTCAGCCCGGCGTATCTCTGACTCAGAAGCTCTGGTGTTGTGCACAGTTAACTCCGGTTGTAGCTAGGTTGCTACCTCCGTTAGCTTAGCTCCCACCTCCGCATTAGCTTTGGGTTAGCTTCAGGTTAGCTTGTAGCTAGTTCGACCGGGTGTCGTCAGTTGATCCCAGCCTTACAGCCCCACCCTCAGCTCCTCCTCTCTTCCCTTTTGTGGAGTTGTCTGGGCTTGACGGAACCTGTGACACGGTCAAAATGGCGGTGGTGGCCACCTCCCATTTTAGCAGAAAAACTTGTTATTGGAGTGTATAATGTCGATGGGTGTCCCCCCTAGATCCTCCTGGACCTAGAACCACCTGTTGTAGCGTTAGCAGGGATGTGCTACCATCACAAGGGCCGTATTCCTGACTGTTTTAGATGTTTTTCTACTTGAGCACTGCACATTTGATTAAAATGAAAGTTTAGCAGCTCCTGTAGAACCTGATTAAGGCTGTAGCAAAATGGTTTATGGCTCTTTTATGAAATATGAACCATTCTACATAATAATCTGGAATATTAATTTTAACAAAATTAATAACCAAATTTATAGAGATAAGAAGACTCAAAGGTTGTTTTCATTGATAAACTGACGATCATATCCGTTTGTCTGTGTTTCAGTTCAATGAAGAGACAAGTTTGAAATTTAAGTGTTTTAATTCTTCAATTTAAACTAACGATTAGAAATGACAATCATAGGAAAAATAATCAACATTAGCAACCTTGTTGGACAATCTTTAACAGTTGATATTTTAAGCTTGCACAAATAGACCTTGTGTTGTTTGTGCTAAGATTGAGGATAATGGAATTATGAATGTGTGCATGCAGGTGTCTGAGTTTGCTTCAGGGAGAGAAAAGGTGTCTGAGTGAAAAATGATGGTTTGAATTAAACTTTAGTTCTTATTAGAAAACCAGCATCAGAACGCTATATATCGTGTTCTGCCTCACCGACCTTAGGACCCTCTTTAGATCCGGACCGAAGGAGGATGTTTCTCCAGGTGCCACCTTGGCTGACCGAGAAGACGAAGGTGTGCGACCGTCCAGTCCAGAGTTGACCTCGGTACACTTTGCTGAAGCGTTCGACAGATGCGCTTTCTCAAGTTTAAATTAACTCAGAAATCAAAGACTCTGGGACGAGTCTGCGTTAGCAGTTGCATTTCAGCTATTCTGTCTGGCTTGACAGAAATAGCGGGGGGGGGAAGAGCCGTCAGGGCTCCTTTCCCCGTTGGCGTTTGTTCAGCACGTCCGCTCTCTTTCGTTGTCAATCTCGAACATACTAACTTACCCAAAACCACTTCTCTTCCCAAAGTAAACTTGTGCGTCAGAGCAAATGTGTTTTGGAGTTACTGTGGATACAGACCTGTGTGAGCGAGTGTGAAGGTCATCGCTAAACATCTTTAAAACATTATTTAATTAATTATACTGATTCATTATAGTTCATTATGATTACCCAAAGCATAATAATCATTCATTTGATTAAAATACATTTATAATGAGCAAAGTGATCAAATGGTTATTTAACTTTAATAATGAAGAAAGTTTAAGACTCTGTTATGACTAGGGTGTGTGAGAAGTCCTTCCTCTGGAGATGCAGGTGTTGGATTGTTGTGGAATCTTCAGACTTGCTGTCGGCTCAGGTCTTAATCTGTGGGTGAAAGTTGCTGCGTGACCCAGCTTTGACCCAGCCGGGCAAATACGACCTTTGGCACAGAAAACCCATATTTCCTCACGTTACAGTGCTGAGGAGATAGTTTGGAGACTGAGTTTTTTTTTTATAAAAAAGTTCCCTCTTCCTCTTCTTGATCACGTCACATTACGGACCCTAGCTGTGTGCGTGTGTTCACACAAATATTCCTTTCAGGATCCTTTCGGGGATGTCATTAAGACCATCATGAACGCCATTCACAATGAAGCCAAGCTTAGCCCCATCTGTGACCTGGGCTCGCAGAATTATGAACAGTGGGCTGTTCAGAAAGAACGACAAGGTGAGCGGCATTTTGGGTCATTATGGTTTTTCAAAGGTCCGTTTGGGATTGTGTTCCACCATTATGCAACTCTAACGCTTTCTCTTGCTTCTCCTGTTAAGCCTTTAGACTTGCCCATCATTAGGCCACTTCTACTGATGACAACCATGATGCTTGTTGTAGATTTTAAAATAAAACTGCCTCATTCCATTCTAGCTGCAAAAGAGGAGGACAAGACAGTGCGAGTCTGTGCAGAGTTCCTTCGACGGTACAACGAGGGCCTGATTCTCAGCAACACCATCCGCATGAGCGATGCCCTCAGTTACCTGAACAAATTCCACGAGGAACAAATCAAGAAGAAAACTTCAGTCGATGGGGAGCAGAACATACAGATAACAGATACTGAGAGATTCCTCTTCAAATTGTTTAAAGGTGAAATTGCTTTTTAGGTTATTCAATAAGTCCTTTCCTTTGCTGATTGAAATCTAAATCTCACAGATAAAAAGGAAGAGCTGGAGACATTCTCGAAGAATCCAAAGTATGAAAACGACAGCCTGTCAAAACTAAGGGAACAGATTCTGCGAGAGTTCAGCTCTAGAGGACAGGCCAGAGGAATTATTTTCACTAAAACCCGACACAGTGCCATCACCCTGAGTCAGTGGATTCAAGAAAACCCCAAGTTTGCTGATGTTGAGGTCAAACCTTCACATGTCATTGGAGGAGGAGACCAGAGTGACACCAAACCAATGACTGCTGTAAGTACAATACACAGAAAAGACTTTCCATTTAACTCCACAATGCAAAGCACTTCTCCTTGTGTTCATCAGGCGGAGCAGAAGGACGTGCTGAAAAAATTCAGAGCTGGTGAAGTCAACCTGCTGGTTGCCACCACCGTAGCTGAGGAAGGTTTGGACATACCAGCCTGCAATTTTGTTATCCGATACGGTCTCTCAACCAATGAGATTGCTATGATACAGGTTGGTAAAACTGTTACTCGTATTTTCAGTCTCTAAATATGTGATTCCTTGTTGTGTTTCACCCGGCGCCTCTACCCTTTACCCCCCCCCTTCACATGTGAAAGATCTACAGAGTTCACACCAAAGGCATTTACTCTCCTTCACAAACACAATGTTGTTTATACGGCCAAGAAGGCCGTAAATCAGCCACACTGGATCAAACTCAAAAGGACAAGCAAAAATATAAAATATCACAAATGATGCATAAACAAGATAATGTCTCCCAACCGAGCCCTTCAGTCTGTGTTGATGAATATGCGCCACAAGTTCACTGATCCATTGATCGTGTGCTGGCAGATGGGGGTTTTCTATCTTGACATGGGTTCATTTACGTCTTTTAAGGGCCTTAATTTTTTCTAAAGATGTTTTCAAATCAGCCAGATAAACATTTGGGATGATCGTTTCAGTCTCGCAGGCTCAAGGGCACCAGATTCAGATGAGAAATTGTTTTGGGGCCAGACAGAGAAAATTTTTTCTCTGTCTTAAAGTTCCGTTTGTCCTCAACCTCTCAAAATTCAATAATGGCGTAAATGGTCGGTCTGGTAAAATAGACCATGAAGGTCTGGTAAAATTACTCAGAACTTCAAAGAGTATCAACTCACACACAGTTTAGCATCAAGACACCATGAAAACAGAATGGTCCTATACCCCCTTCAAGAGAAATTTCTCCCAGTTTGGTGCTAAACATAATCGTCTCCAGGAAAACGAGCACCGTTTCATTAGGAAAAGATGGTAGCTGAGCGACTCAGGGAATAAAATATCCAGTTTGGATCCATAACCAAGAAACTTCCCAGACTTTAATCCCATTGAAAGTGTGGTTAATCCTCAAGGGGCAGTGGATAAACAATAATCCTCAAATTCTGACAAACTCCAAACATTACTTGTGCAAGAATGAGCTGCCATCAGTCTGGATTTGGACCAGAAGTTGATCGACAGCATTCCATTTTACATTTGAGAGGTCTTGAAAATAGACAAGCAGAAATTTCAAATATAGATTTCTTTACTCAGCTTGATGTTATTTTCCATAAATGCCTTTGGAACTTCTGAAATATTTGTGATTATAGCTTAATACACCAATGAAACGCCCAACGAAAACTATTAATAACTGACCTCATACTATTCTTTTGAACGTCAGCCTCTTTTGAGTCATAAGCAGACACCCAGAATAACTCATGCATGTGATGTTGATTTAGAGGTTGCTACAGATCCTGTTTAAGGAAGATAATCAGGTTTTATTTTGAATTATTTCATGTTTTCTCCTTTTACAGGCCAAAGGCAGAGGAAGAGCTGACGACAGCTCCTACACTGTGGTGGATGTAAAGAACTCTGGGGTGGCTGAAAGAGAGTGTGTCAACGAGTACCGAGAGGAAATGATGGGAAAAGCCATAAATAAAATCAAAGGTCAGAGTCGAGAAGCTTATCAGAAACAGGTACAGAATAAATATTTTTAATAATGTCTTTTCATTTGAAACGCTCATAATTCTAAGATGTTTTGTCAATTTTCATTAGATGATGGAGTTTCAGCTTCAGGCTATAATGGAGGAGAGAATGAGACAGGTGAAGCGGAAGCAGAAGGCCATCAAGGACGAAAAGCCATCGCATGTAAAGTTCAGCTGTCGAAACTGTGCCAAACCTGTGTGCAGCGGTGAAGACATCCAGATCATTGAAAACATGCACAGAGTCAATGTTACCACACAGTTCAAGTATTAATCATTCACCACTACTTTTTAATAATATTTAGCAACTTTTACTGCATAGTTTGATCATATGTTTTCTAAAAATGTTCTTCGTATAGGGAACTTTTCATTCAGAGAGAAAATGCCACTCTCCAGGAGCGACTTCTGGACTATGAGACCAACGCTGTCATCGCTTGCAAAGACTGTGGCCAGGTATTTCCTGTTTTTAGTTTCTGTTGTAGGAAAAACTAGGGTTAACTCAGAGAAAACTATAAAGACTAAGTCATTTGACTAATGGACTAGTGACACGTGCCTTGTGCACCACATTTGTCTTCTCTAATTGCTGTTGCAGCCATGGGGTTCGGTGATGGTGTACCGTGGGATGGATTTCCCTTGCCTTCATGTGAAAAACTTTGTGGTGAATATCAACGGTAAAAAGATCAGCAATTGCACCAAGTGGAGTGACCTCCCCATCAGGTTTACGGCCTTTGACTACATCGAACATGCCAGCATGATGGCACAGGGCTCAGATGAGGAAATGGGATGAACTACTGGAACATAAAAGCACTTATGTCTGCTGTATTCACTCCTTACCTGCACATCAACTCATAAACAAAATGCAAAGCTTCGTTTAACTGCCAACTTCTGGATGAAATATGTATTTTTTCTGTATTTCGTGTTTCAATAAATTGCACTTTCTTTGTCTATTACACAAAATGCAGTGTTGGTGAACTGGAAAGGACAACTTGATTGTTAATTTTGGAAATAAGTCAATAAAAGTATGCTTTGCAGACAACTGGTTGTTGTCTCATGAGATGGGAGTCAGTGAGCCTGTGATCGCCCCTCAGAGCCCACCTGTCAACTCTCTTGCACACAAACAGGTGCTGTTGACTCTACGTTTAATCCATCCATCAGTGAGTCACTTCTATTGAGGCAGCAGGCGCTATTTTAAGAGGTAGGCTTTTCAACCCCTCTGTCCACATCTTTATGGATCAACCGATTGATTGGGTAATCTTGCAAGTTGTACAAATGAAATGTGTAACTGTTTTCCCAGTGAATATTTCTTGAGTTGAAAAGTACCTGGAGGATAATTTGTACAGAAACAATATATTTAATTTCAATGTTTTGAGCAAAAAAATTTCTCTTTTTCATACATTGTATTCAGATTGGAAGAGTCCTTTGCAATCTTTCGATCACTTTCAAGTATGTTTCCGTGTAAAGGTTATGTGCATTTACTACCTTACTAAAATGTCGTTTTTTTTTTCTTCTGATGGAGTTACTATCACCTAGGTGGGATAGGTGCATTGCAAATGTGTAAACTGCTCCAATCTCCAAAGTTTTGTTGTAGTTTGTCCAATTTCCACCACAAGGTCACATTTGGATGATCAGATCCAGAAGGGAGGCATGGCATTCCTCTTCCTCGGCTCCTATGAGATCGTGTGGGTTTTTTCCAGCTTCTTTAATCCCAACAAGGTCTGTGATTTATCCAAAAAACCTCCAGAGGGAAGCATCTAGGAGGTATCCAATCAGCTGCTACCACTCTGATTTATTCCACATTTTCATCAGGCAGTTTTTCACTGAAACGCTGTAAAACGTTATGTATAGATCTGTTGGCCATACATTTTAGAAGTAAGTGTAAAATTAGCATCCTTGACTGCCAACAACCACAAAATCCACATGTGTTCCTCACATGTACACACACATTTAAAATCAAAATGACTTGCTTATCTATGAATATGAGCCCAGTCACACTACAGTAGAAGCTTGTATCTGTCATGTATGTTCAGGAACGTCTTGTTTTGACTACAATCGAATTCTTTTGAACTGGATGGACCAGTAGAGCAAGAGCTTGGCAATTTGGCTGCACCTCCTTGACAGAGTGGAGCAACGCCCTCATCACTCAACACAGCTTCAACATAAACAATTTCATGGGTTGACTGTAATGTGAATTTGGATAAATTTAGAAATAAATGGGATTTTTTTAATCAATGTTCAGGGAGAACCCAGACAGGAACACTGAAAACTGATCCTTAAAGTCCTTATTAGGGCAAATGACCATTATTTGACCACTTGTGCATATTTGATTTATGTCACGCTGCGCAGGTGAGTTGAGCGGTCAAAGTTAGGATCCAAACGCAGGAAACAGAAAGGCAGGCTGATGAGGACATGCAAAAGGGTTTTAATAATGAGCACGAGACAGTGAAACAATGAACTGACAAGACAAACAGAACTGAGGGTTTAAATACATGAGGAGCCGGAGCTTGGGTGATCGGAAAATGAGAGGCAGGTGGGAGTAATCAGAAGACACACGACTGAAAAGAATGGGGAGACAGACAGGTGTGACAATTTGCAGTTTAAATTTGAAACTTTATTATTTGGAGAGAAAAAAAATACACAAAAGCAAAAACATGTTTTTTTTTTGGTTGAAATTATTTTTAAAAACTTGCAGTAGTTTGCAGAATATTACATTTAAAAATAGACTGATTTAAAAATTTGAATTCAACTTTAAATAGATATTTATATTTTAACAATAATATCTGGATTCAAGTTACGATTTCCTTTGTAAATATGGTGGAAAAAGTGACGAAAACAAACTCGTTGTTTCTTTTTTTTATTATAAGAAGCAAAGTGAGACAATCGGCGCCCCATACAAACGTGTCACTTTATTGTTATTAAATGCAAATCTGTTGAGGATAAGAAATCATGACTCATAAAGCGGTCTCCTCCTTGCATCTGCAGCCTGTTGCGCCCTCGCTGGAAAAAGCCACTTCCCTAATTTGAGTACGGTAAGTTTCGCGCTCCTGGAAAGTTGTGCGGACTTGGAGGAGTCATCTGCGCGTTTGGAAGGACAGGTCACAGATAAACAGAAGGAAGTGGGACCAGCGGCACGGAGCTCGACTCGATGCTGCCGTGTTCAGCACAAAGTCTCTGATCTGCTGACGGAGAATGTTCACCCGGCTGCGATTTCACCACGGCGACTTTTGAGGAGTTTCAAAAGACCGCGACTTCCATCAGCATCATCATCATTCATCATCATCATCATCATGGTCAGTAAGCGATTCACCTCCACTGTCAACTAAAATAGAATAAAGTAAAGCAAAATGAACCCAGAAGATGATCCAGACACTTTGTTTTTCCCGTCATCTCTTAAAAGGGCTGCAACAGGCTGGTGTGGGGATTGGTAGGAGCTGCTGTCGTCATCACGTTAATAACCGTGCCAGCTGTTTATTACAGCAGTAAGTTAGAAAGCTCACTTCTTCAGTTTCTCTAACCTGTGCGTCTTCAAAGTATTCTGATCCAAGCATGAACCAGCTTGAAGCTGTGTGTTGGAGTGATGGACACCCAGCTTGATAATAAACCTGAGCATGCATGTTTATGTGTCCAGAGTCCGGAGCTTCAAAAAGGCCTTTCACACTTCAGGATTACTTCAACACCACCATCAGAAAGAGATCCTACAATCTGCACTGGATATCAGGTTTCTCTATCTGTCCTCTACTGGAATGATTGCATGAATCTCAGTGTTGGGCTAGAATTACCTTCAAATTATTACCATTATTATTATTATTATTATTTTTATTATTGTCCCTCATGTCTGCAGATGTGGAGTATCTGCATAAAACAAGCGATGGCCATATTTATCTCCACAACGCTGAAACAAAAGTGGAATCGTTGTATCTGAGCAATTCAACTTTTGTAATTATTTTTCATTTATTTTACAACAAAAACATATTTTTGTTCTTCTGAACATGAATTGTGAGCTTTTTTTCCAGGCGAAGGTGGATGCTACTGATTACTGGTTGTCGAGTGATTTCAACTATGTTGCATTTGAAAGCAATTACACAAAGGTGAGAAGTAAATGGGACCATAAAACGCTGCAGTTGTTGATGTTAAAGATGTGATATAAAAAGTGCCTTTAAATCCTGCAGAACTGGAGGCATTCATATACGGCCTCGTATTCCATCTACGACAGAGAGAAGTCGTAAGTATTGGCATCTTTATTTTATTTGCAAACTTTGGATCAGATTAGTGATGGCCTCAAAGTGAAAAAACTAAACATTTCTTGTAAATGAACTGTGCAGAGTAGTAAAATTTTTCTCTTTGAACATATTTTGTACATTCGTTCTGTGTAATCCTTCCATTGTTTTAATTTTTTTTTCAAACACAGCGAAGTAGAAAATTAGTTTTTTTTTACTTTTTTTGCTGACAAGTTTCGGCTAACTGTGGCCTTCTCCAGAGCTCTGCTGGTGCTGGCGTTACTTCCTTTTCCGTTTATCTGCGGGCAGCAGAGGATGGTGTCGCCCTCTACTGCCCGTACCCTCCTCGCCGATGACGAGGTCCCATGACTGATCCAATGTGTAAACTCCACCGTCTCTGTTCATGGTCCTGGGTCCACGTCTTCTTTTTCTATCGCTACTTTGATCTATCTTTTGTATTTTTGTTGTTCTGTTTATCACAAACAACAAAAGACAAACCAAAACAAGAACCAAAAATCCAGAAAGACAAGAACAAAAACCAGTGATGACCCTTCCATACATTAAAGGCAGAACAGAAAATATAATAACAACAATGAGAAAACAACACAAACACATCAACAAAACCAGTCAGAAACAGACTAGTGCACCCAAAAGACAAGATATCTGCAGGACTAAAATGTACGCAACACCGTGCAAACTCTGCAATACAACAGACATAGGAGAAACCGGACGCCAACTCAACACACGAAAACTAGAACATAGAAAAAAGTGCGAGAAAGAAACAAGTTGAAGACACACAAGAGCAGCAAGACAAGAAGCAGAAAGTATGATAAAGATATCCGCCGTAACAGACACAAGAGAAAATCATTTAATGGGACAGAACACGGGTCATAAACAGAGCAACAAAAATACATAAGTGGATCAAAGAAGCAAATGAAATAAGGAGACGTGGACCCAGGACCAAGAACAAAGACAGTGGAGTTTAAACATTGGATCACCCATGGGACCGTGTCATCGGTGAGGAGGGCGCAGGCAGTGGAGGGCGACACCATCCTCTGCTGCCCGCAGATCAATGGAGAAGCTCTGAGGAAGGCTACAGCGTTAGCCGAAACTTGTCAGCAAAAAAAGGGTAAAAACAAATACGCTGTGCTTTTTAAATTAAAAAAAAAAACAATGTTAAAATATTAGTTGATCTTTAAGTTCTGTGACCTCTATTAATCCAACCTTTAACAACTAGTTCTGACAAATGCTGTGCAAAAATAAAACATAATTTTCTGGGGGGAAAGTGAGATTGTGACTGAATAAAAATGTGTACCTCATGAAGCAGTTAAGGCAGGCAAATAAGCCTAATAATGTATTGATTTAAAAAACCAAAATACACAGAGAAACAGAGGGAAGAATTAGAAACTGTAACATTGAAAATAAACAGCAATGTCAATAAATAAAAATATACAATAAAATTCTGATACAAAATGGAAAACACAAAGAACTGAGCTGGGGGGAAACGACATTTGCAGACTCACACTTTGAGGAAACATTCATATTTGTGTGAACTTCCTCTGCTTTAACACACTAATGTGAGTTCCTCTGTTTAAATTCACAATTTAAGCTTTTTTTTTCTTCCAAAAACTGAGTATTTCTTTCCATTGTGTCTTCATGAAAATTACTTAAAGTATTTTAAGTACTTAAAGTATATTAAGGTATTTTTTCTGTTTGTGAAATCCAGGCATGCTCTTTTTAGAACTTTTCTGCGAGTACATGAAAAGTCACCTCCCTCTCGTGCCTTTTGAAAACCCATTTTGAGTTCCAGACCGACTCCATATCTTACAACAGAAAACCATTTTGACTGTTGCTTTATGTTTTTAACTAGGTGTCTTGTTAATTATATCAAGTTTGCTTCATATTTATCAGATTTCTTGTAAAAGTAAATGACTATTCATTATTACAGGACCAGCTGTAATCTGAATACCTGCAGACAGACTTATCAGTCAAGAGACGTAGAATCAATAACATATTTTGTTTAAACCCACTGTTAAAAATGCATCTTTTAACTTAAATGGTCGAGCAGTCAGCCATAACATTATAAACTCACATAGATGGAGTAAAACTGAGTGTTCTGCTGGGAAAACCTGCATTCTGGCATTTACACGCAGGTTATTTAGACATTTGACACCTTCCTAAGCATTTTTGCAGATTCTCCTTACCAACAGCCTTGCCCTACATTTGAGGCCCTTCATAGGGCAGCTGCAAGCCTCCCAAATATTCTTTCCAAGGACTGGGAACACAACATAGCTTGAGTTGATCTTCTGGCCTCAAAACTCCCCAGACACAACTGATAAGACCTGATGCGAGTCAAACCCAAACCACTAAACACAAAGGATCTATTGGCTGAAACTGCAGGACTCCCACAGACATCCTTTGACCAGATACAGCTGTTCAGCTGCATAAGGATTACATACAACGTGCTGTTTGAGTAGTGCATCTCAAATAAGGGACCAAACTTTAATACATGAGAAATAAATCACAACCAAATTTGATTTTGTTGCATTTGCATTGACACCAACTGTCACATTGAGATCAGGAGGGTTGGACCAAAGATGCAGAACCCAGGACGACAAGGCAGGAGTGGTGATAAAAGTAAAACTCTTTATTTAGGGTGACAAAATCCAAATGTAAATCCAAAAGGGCAGAAAGCCAAAACCTATTAACAAAACACTGCAAAGACAAAACCAAGAGCTCACTTTATGAGCAGAGAACTTGAGACCAAGAGGGGAGACAAAACAATGCTAACAAACATCAACGGACCGACAACACAGAGAGACACAGGCAGGGTTTATATACAGACGCTGGGTGATAGGAGACGAGGGGCAGGTGCGTGGGAATTGGGCACAGGTGAAAACAATGAACTAAGGAGGAGCAGAAATAAGCAGGGGGAAAAACAAATATAATCCTGAAAACCAAAGGTAACCAACTAAACTAAAACCATCATAGAAACAAGGACACAGGGCGATCTAAAAAGAAGAAAATAAATTATCTAAGTGGGGAAAGGAAACACACACACACACACACTTAAGGAGACAGGAGAACTGAAACACTAAACCAAAAGGTGGGGAGAATAGAGAACATGAGGGAAACCAGGAGGGCGCTGGGGACAAAAGGGGCACAGAACATGACTCTAACTGGGTTACTGTTTGCATAATTAATTTTCAAAACATCCCTTTTTGTTGCAAAACTGTAAAAAACTGCATTTTTAATCAGTTCATAGTTTTTGTGTGTGTGTTTTTACCTTTGTTGTGTCTAACTACTGTGTTTCGTGCAGGGTCACTATCACGAAGCAGAAAACAACCCTCACCTTTAACCCTCTGATGCATGAATTATGAAATCTTCAACCATGATTTTTTTTAACATTTTTTTTCATTCGTCTTTAGGTGTGAATGAAACAAATTTCAACAATTATTTTTTGTACAATTTTATAATTTACAAATGATTTATTACATGTCCACCTCAGTGGACAGCGTGCATTCTGAACATGAAATATGGTGGCTTGGCTTACTGAAGTACAAATGGAGGGGCTCAAATGCAATAAAGTCTTCAACAGCTGTGATTAATAGCAAAAACAAATAAATAACAATTTGAGTACCTGTCCACTGTAGTGACCATTATGCATCAAAGGGTTAATTCTTTTCTGATTTAATCGCAGAACTTTTGTGACATCAGTCAGCCTTCCACCTGCTGTGCAGTACTTTACCTTTGGACCAACAGGAAGCCAGTTTGTGAGTCTAAATCATGTTTTTCTGTGGAATCTATGGTTTATTTCAACAATGCTGCATCTCCATCTTCTGATACAATAAATATCACATTTTATATTTGTTACATTCACACATCGTCTTGCAGGCCTACGTCTCAGACTTCAATGTTTATTTCAAGTCCAGTGTCGATGCTCAAGTTGTTCAGATCACACGAAATGGGAAAATGAATGAGATTCTGAACGGCATCCCTGACTGGGTGTATGAAGGTGGGTGAGGCAAGCTGTGCGTCTGTGTTTATGACACGGAAGTTGGTTAATAGGAATTTGTTTTTCTTCAACTTCTAGAGGAAGTGTTTGCATCAGCTGGGGCAATTTGGTGGTCTAAAACGGGAAAATTCCTGGCCTACGCAGAATTTAATGATACAGAAGTGCATAAAGTGGAATACATTTGGTATGGATCAGAGCCGTATCCTCAAACCGTGGAGGTTCCATACGCAAAGGTTGGATCATAAAATGTGTAAAACGTTTAGATATGGTCAGTTACATTTTGCAGTTACGTCTGGCATGTAGAACAACTATTAAGAAGTTGGGTTTTGGAAATTATGTCAACTTTTAATAATTTAGTGATGGTAGATAGCTCTTTGAACAACCTCGGTTTGGAGAATTATAGTTTTGTTATGTAAAGATTGGCATTTTAACAGCTTGTGGGGCCAAACCCTCCAAAAATAATGCAATAATAAGAGGAAAAATTGCTATCTCATAAATAAGATAGCACCTATATTTCTGCACATAATCGGAACATACTAGCACCAATCAGAGAAATGAACAATGTGGCGTATACATTGATACGGGAACCAGACGTTTAAGAAGACAAAGCAAATTCATCCTTTTTCAGAATTAAGGATTAGGGAACCTTAATCTTCTCATGTCTCAAAGAAAAGCCCAAATCTAACTTGTCCAAAGTTGATAACAAAGCTGTGTCAAATCACAGACATCGTATACGTAGACGTGACGTGGACTGCTGCTGCCTATTGGAGCTGCCATATTGGTCAGCCGCCATCTTGGATGGGTCTCCATTCGCCCCCAGTGCATTTATTTCTACTGAGGATGGACTTTACCGAACTAGAAAAAAATCAATCAATCAATCAAATTTTATTTGTATAGCACCTTCTACAACATTATCCGAAGCCCAAGGTGCTGAACAACATCATTAAAAGAAAAACATTCCCAGTACATGGGCATAAAAGCAGGATAAAAACATAAAATCATAAAATATCAAGCAAACACTATTACAGATAAGAGATATTGGAATAAGACTAATCGATAAAAAAACTAATGTCGGACAAAATAAAATCAAGCATCTGGGTTAAAAAGAAGAATAGTTAAAACCATAACGTTAGGGCAATTCAAATGACCCTAGCGCTAAAACGCAATCAGATAAAAATGAGTCTTTAAACGAGACTTAAAGACTTGAAGGGATGGTGCCTGCCTAATGCTCAGTGGCAATTCGTTCCACAGAGTTGGAGCCAAAATAGAAAAAGCACGACAACCCCTCGATCGAAATTTCGACTGGGGGACCACCAGAAGTTCCTGCTCGGCTGAGCGAAGAGACCGAGATGGAGCATACCTGTTCAAAAGCGCAGTAATGTACGAGGGGGCACTGCCCTGGAGGGCCTTATAAACGAGAGTTAAGATTTTAAACTGAGCTTGATATTTTACCGGGAGCCAGTGCAGAGCAACCAGCACTGGGGTAATGTGCTCTCGACATCTAGTGCCTGTCAGAAACCTAACCACAGAGTTCTGCACAAACTGGAGCCGTGCAACCGTGCACTGGGCCAGACCAGCATACAAAGCGTTGCAGTAGTCCAGCCGGGACAGGACGAAGGCATGCAACACAGACTCCAGATGAGCTCTGGACAGCAGAGGCCTGATCCTGGATAGTCTTTTCAGGTTAAAGAAACAGGACCTCACCACTGTATTTACATGAGTGTCAAGATTAAGTGATGAGTCGATTTTAATCCCCAAATTACTGACCATTTTCTTTTCATAAGGTGTCAGTGGGCCAAGGTCAATATCAGCACCAGAGCCATTTCTTCTGCCAGGACTAAGTATTATAACTAAAAAACTAAACTAAAAAATAGTTTTATAAAAAAAAGTATTAAACTAAAAAAGTATTGTAACTAAAAATATAACTAAAAAATAAAATAAAATAACACATTCATTTTGCTTTGTCCCAAATTCAGACGTGTGGTATAGTACAATAGTTCAAATATAGATACAATAAAATAAAATAAATTAATAAAATGTAAAATCCCAACAGGTAGACTAGAAAATTCAATAGTAATCCCACGTGATGTGTTTTCACTAGTTGCAGATCTTAGTTGCTCACTCTGCGTTGAATCCAGTTGGGATTAAAAAGTGAGGAACCCACCCATTATGGCAGCAATGCATCTAAGTATCCATGTCTATGTTTCAAACAAGCGCCTCCCCTGAGCCAACACCCTCTTTGTAGATTTTCTTTGCTGCAGCTCTGATGCTAAGTCCACCCAACGTCTCTCAATAGAGCGTTGTGATTGGCCTGACCTAAAGCTGTTCCGACCAATGGTAAACTTGCAAGTGAGCGTTGCTAGACCAACCTGCGGAACAAAAGTTTTTGCTGCTGATAAGTTTGACTAGATGTATTTGTTTAAAGTCTTGTTCTCACAGCAGAATAATCATGCCTATCCTTTTGATAATCTGAAGGATACGTATGATGACAGTAACGGCTCTTAAGATAGTCTTATCAGATAATCTTACCTTTTGTAACGAGTGCTGTAGTTCATGTGGAAGGATGTCGGGACCACACCGATCATAAATCCAGGTTTTCAAACATGTTGGATTGTCTTGGTCTGATTTTCAGAGAAAAACAAACATACTGCCTGTTGAATGTGACATCTAGCCAATCAGAAACAAGCATGCAGCACACTCCTTGTCTGCCATATTTGTTTATGTTAAAGTCAAGTTTTATCTTCTAAGATTATGTCTGTGAGTGAAAATGATTGGTGTATTTTCCAAGTTGCTGCACACCACACACTGTAGGACCAAAACTGCTATAACTATGATGTTTTATCACCACATGTGTGGTCTCTCGTGCTTTGAAATTCAGCAAACGCTTTAAAACTCCTGCTGTGTGATCCGGACTGTAGGAGTTTTTGAAGTTGGATTTTGTCTAAAATCCAGCAATACTAGCTGTTAGCTTGTCAGTCCATTTAAAACTAATCTCTCTTTCTCCAAACTGAGGTTGTTGTATTGTTTTTTGACCCTATCAGTATCTTTTAATAAAGTGTTATATTTGTCTTTGGATTAGGCTGGATCAAAAATTACCAAGGTAAAACTGGTTGTGGTTGATACATCTAACCCATCCGTCCGTGCTCAAGTGTTCCCTCCTGCATCCATTGCCTCGGGGTCTGTTCATCGTTTTAGCCTCCTTTATTACATATTTAAAGCAGACATACCTGCTGTGTCTCACTGATCTGACTAGGCCTGTCACTTTCTGTTGTCTTTACTCAGTGACCACATTTTGTGCTCAGTGACCTGGGCGTCAGATGAACGTGTCGCTGTTCAGTGGCTCACGCGAAAACAAAATCACCTTGTGGTACAGATCTATGACTTCGATGGAGGCAGTTGGAAAGAAAAACAGGTAGATGACGCGTCTCTCGTTTCTGTTTAAATGAGATCTTTGAGGAGATCGTCTGAATTCATTAGATGCTAAGTGAATATTTTCACTTGTAGACATTTGAGCAAACAAGCAAGACAGGCTGGATCGGTCATGTAAGTTTCCACAAATAAAATGTGATTCCTGATCGTTTTTATCTTGTTCATGACACACATGTATTATTTCCACAGTATACGCCCCTGCCTCTTTTCTTTGCTGAAGATAACCTCAGTTTCTACAAAATCATGAGCGATTCTAAGGGCTACAAACACATTCACCTTGTGAAAAATGTGAGTGCTTCATTATATTGCAATAGCATCTTTAAAGGATTCCTTCACACTTTGTGTGGTGAAATCTTTTGATGAGTGAATTTCTTCTGTTAAGGGCGTAGCAACACCGATTAGCTCTGGAGAGTGGGAAGTTATTTACATATCAAAACTAACAAAGGACGCCATGTAAGTGATAAAAGCCTTCGTTAATGAGAGGAAACATCAAATGTAAAAAGTCACAAAACATTTAAAGATGACTTATGCTTTTCTACAGATATTTTGTGAGTAACCAGTACAAGGGAGTACCTGTAAAAAGAAATCTTTACAGGTAAGCAGTATCCATACTGAAGCACCCAAAAATGGTCAGTAACATCATGTTCGGAGCTCATTTAAATCCTTGAATCCTATTATTATGAGATGTTTTATTATTTTCCATATAGGGTTATGATTGGGGGCAGCTCCTCAGCCCCGCAGTGTCTCACCTGTGACTTGCATGAGGACAGGTGTCAGTACAATTCAGCTTACTTAAGCGTTGATGCTTCGTTCTACCGAATGGACTGCTACGGTCTGTTACCCTTCCTCATGTTCACAAGCAATAACTCATTCATGTAGGCATCATCTGGGAACGCCACCTCAAAAGTTTGAAATGTTTGGATTTTTTTTTTTTTTTTTGCAATAGGGCCTGGATTGCCCCTTTACACACTCATGGACAACAGGGGCTCAGGTGCAGGTACTTTTTTCAAATTTTCTGTTTTATTAATATGTTAGTCACAGAGAGTTAGTATCAGAGGTTTGTTTTGCGTCAAACTGACAAAGCTTCGCGTGAACTGTGATGAATAAAAACATCAGACGTAAATGTCTGTTTTTACTTGTCAGAGTTACAGATTCTGGAAGACAACAAGGATTTGGAAAACATGCTCTCCGAAGTTCAAATGCCAACAATGAAGTACGGCACCTTAAAGGTTGCAGGATTTGGTGAGACTCATTAATCACGCTTCCTAGAAAGGCTGCAGACATGATGTTCACCATAAAACACTGTTTAAAAATGTTAAAATAAATACGTTTGCTATTTAAACTGTCCAGACTACACACACGTCTACCCCTTCAAAACAAAATTAATTTTAAAAACACATAACTCTCTCCAGCTTCAATTAAGAATGATATTTTTAGAGTATTTGATCCAGAAGGTTGTTTTTTTTACACTTTCAAACTGAATTTTGGATTTTGTTTTAAATGTTGCAGAATCACAGATTATGTTTGATGTGCAAATTCAAAGCAGATGAACACAAATGGGAACAGTCAAATTCATTTAAATAACATATTTATTTAAATGTATTTTATTTGATATTTCTAAATAATTTGGGTTATTTTTTTTACCAATAGAAACCCCAGAAAATCTGCCTTCAACCATATGCATTTTTTTTTCAATCTCTTTAAATCAACAGATCTTTGGTATGAAATGATGTTGCCACCAAATTTCCAGAAGTCCAAAAAATATCCTCTTTTCATTGATGTGTAAGTCAACACTTAAGAGTTTAATTCCATTAAAACCAGAATATTTGTTCCAATTTGATACCGTTTGGCGGCTCTGTCCCTTGCAGTTATGGTGGCCCCTGCAGTCAGAGTGTGAACTATCAGTTCAAGCTGAACTGGGGCACGTACCTCTCCAGCTCGCTTGGAATCATCGTCGCCAGCTTTGATGGAAGGGGAAGCGGTTACCAAGGCGATGAAATATTACACGCAATCTACAAACGCCTCGGGACATTTGAGGTGGAAGATCAGATAGCAGCTGTGAGGTGAGGAGTGTACTATATTCATGTCATGATTTCAGCAAAGGTACAGATCTCCAAACATCTCTAGAGAGCATCTGATTTCTGTTACAGGAAGTTCATCGACATGGGTTTCATTGACAAGGATAGAATTGCGATTTGGGGTTGGGTAAGTTTCAAGTTTGTGTGGTTTTGTTTTTTAAATCAGGCCGTGTTTGTTAAAAGTAATCTGTTCCTTTTTATCAGTCATATGGCGGTTATGTCTCCTCCATGGCCTTGGGTGCTGGAACTGGCCTCTTCAAGTGTGGGATCGCAGTGGCCCCTGTAGCTAACTGGGAATATTATGGTCAGTATTCAAAAAGATCTACAAACATTTCGGTAACCTTATTAAATGACTTTAAAGGTGGGGCGTGATGTGTTTTTCTTGAGTGATTTTATTTATATGGCTTGAAATGGTCGTCACGTACCAATAGCAACCAATAAATCGAGGACTTTGTCAAAAAAGGAACCATTTTAATCACCACTGCAATGTGCAATTCTGGAAAGACTTCATTTAAATTGTAAATTTAGGAGCAGCTAAACAGTAAGCCAAGCCAAAGCCGGGCTAGCTAGTGTAACTCAAAGATTGTTAAGTTCTGTTTTTGTTTGCAAATTTCATTTAAGGACTTGTTATGTTCTGTTAAGAATTTGGTCCTATTCATGTTGGGGAACGTTTATGTGACGGACCTGTCGTCTGTGAACACAGCTTGTCCTCTGTTGGCTGCCCAGCTGTGTGTCTAACACGCAGGTGTGTGTTACCCTCCACCAGGCATGAGAGAGGAGAGAGCCAAGTCTGAGTCGATCTGGGTTGGATTCTAAATGTTTTGACTTGTTACTGTTTGGATTTTTCCAGATTGTCTGTGACACTAAGCTGCTGTGAGTTTAAGGCAAAGAATAAACCAAGAAAGCTAAAAAAAAGTGCCTTGTTTTCACCACATGATATTAGCTAGCATAATAATGGTTAGGTAGGAATTAGGATGGGAGACCCCAGATACATTGGTATTGGTTTGTATTAAATATCGGTAAACATGTCGATATTCAGTGTCTAATTTAAACTAAATATTCTTCTTTTGCAGATGCCATTTACACTGAGCGCTATATGGGCCGACCCACAGAGAATTCAGATGCCTACAAAGTAAATATTGAATTAATGTTGTGTAAATAATTTCTGACTTACATTTTAAGGTGAGTAAAATCTTAACATTTCCTCTATTCTAAATTCAAGAATTCTACAGTCACATCCAGAGCAAAGAACTTCAAAAAGGTTTCCTATCTGCTGGTTCACGGCACAGCAGATGGTACGTTCTGGCCTTCCTTTCAGTCTTTCCTGTTTTTGATAAGACGTGGACACGTGTGTCATCTGGGTTCTTGGTAACAAGGTGAAGTCATGCACGAGATCTCAGTGTGAACGTTCAGTCACGTAGAGGTTTGCTGTCCTTCCCTTTCAGACAACGTTCACTTCCAGCAGGCTGCGCAGATTTCCAAAGCTCTGGTGGACGAGCAAGTGGATTTTGAGGCAATGGTAAATATTGGCTCGGGGAGGTGGAACTAATATTTGCCTTGATGGTGTTGATTTAAGAAAGGTTTTCAAATGGAAAAAGACTGCTTTGAATTGTGTCAAATAAAACATATTTTTGTGTGAATTAATCTTTTGACATTATTTCCACAGTGGTACACGGATAAGGACCATTCTCTTGGTGGATCAGCTTATCCTCACCTGTACACACTCATGAGCAACTTCCTGCAGAAATGCCTCCTTAATCCCAAGTAGATGTGAAAAATGAACAAATTTCATAGTGAAACCTCATTTTTTTTATCTGTTTTAATTAAAATTCCAGCTGATATTGAGAATTTTGGGATACGTTTTAGCCATTTTTACATAGCTGCTCGTTTCAGGGTTTGTTAAAGAATGTGACCTTTAGGAATAAAAGCATGCACTTGAAGATGCAAATATTGATGTTTTTATGTAAATGTGATCACACACACAGATGATTAATCACACCTCATGGTTTAGATGTGAAGTCTGATGTCTGTTTCTGTGTTGTTTGGATAATAAATGGAATAAAGATTGTTTTTAAAACAAACGAGACCTTTTTTCCCTTGTTACACTACATCCTAGAAGGTGTCAGGTCGGAGGTCACGTTGGATTCAGACACCTTATGGGTTGGCTCCACCATCCAGCTGTCACGTTGTCACTTTTTAACCAAAGTTAAACACATTCAAGGGACTGAGCCGGAAGCTGTGACTAATGATTTGAGTGCAGCAGAAAATATCCTCAGGTTCCTGTGACGGGGGAAGTCACCTGAGAGAACCCCCAGCTCCACTATATAAGGAGGAGACCGTGAAAAGGCTCCAGAAGCCCAAGAGAAGGAGGACGCCAGTCGATGCAAACCAAAACTTCCTCTCCAAGCAATCGTCTGAAAAGGTGAGAATTTTTGTTCTAAAAATTAAAATAATTTACAAAACTGTAACTAAAAATTAGCTTTATGTTAAAGTCTCTTTTTTTCTGTTTTTCTTTATTTTTTTAGAGGCTCAAATAATGAGAAGTGCTCAGTCTCTCGCTGGAGTCCTGCTCCTCATCCTCATACAAAGCAGCTGGCAGGTGCCTGTCCAGGACGCCGACCGAACATCTGGGTAAAACCAACTTTTTAACATTTTTAATCATATATTCTATGCAGGTATTAACAGTACTGTAGCTTAAAATGTTGCAATGTTCATGACTTATTTATTCTGCACAGATTTGAATTAGTTAGCAACATTTAAGCTGATTTTCAAACATTTTATCTAATTGGGATTGTGTGAAATATTCCATTAAGGTATATTTTATTAATTAAAAACTGATGCGATTGATAAAATATTCCAGATCTGCTTTAAATATTGATGCAAATGCAAAATATTTTTAAATGTTCAGAAATATGACAATCTGTGCAATTAAACTCTTTCATTTAGATAAATAATTTACATAAAGTATAAAATCATGTAAATATTTACCGACTGATGAGAAGCTTTAGCCCAAAATCAAAGTTCTGATGCAGAATTAAGTACTTTGAAAGCAGGCCTTTTTATCATATTCCAGTTTAACCTGAAAAAACCAGAAATTGCACACATACCGAGGGCGTGTTTCCTTTCTGGGTCACTCATAGGTCATTGAGTGAAAACTCAATGTTCAGTGATCCAATTGATTTCCCAAATGTGAAGAGGCACTCAGAGGGAACCTTTTCCAATGACTACAGTAAATATCTGGAGACAAGGAGAGCACAAGACTTTGTCCAGTGGCTGAAGAATTCCAAAAGGAACGGGTGAGTGGATCAGGCGTATAACAGGACACATAGGATCCACCCTTGAAGGATCAGAGATACAATCCACCTAAACTGGATTACTTTCTACTATGGATATGAGTCTTGGGGTTTTTAAGGAAGTTCTGCTGTTTTGTTCTGCAGGAGCGTGCTCAGACGCCACGCAGACGGGACCTACACCAGCGATGTGAGCTCCTACCTGCAGGACCAGGCAGCCAAAGAGTTTGTCTCATGGCTGAAAACCGGCCGAGGCAGAAGAGACTAAACTCCCTGCTCCACTCTTCCTGCCATTGCCCTTTTTTAAAATAATGCAGCTACTTGCAGCACTAATTGTGTGCCAGTATATGTTGCATAATCTGTACTCCACATATTTATGTCGAGACTATTAAATCCTCCTTCACGAGAAGCCTTAATGTTCGACAAAACAATTAAAATATATCTCTTTTTCCCACATGTTGTCATTTTTATTCTTTTGTTTAAATAAATTTGTATGAATCAAAGAATGTTATTGACACAAAACTGAGTTTCCTTTATTCTAAATGAATCAGAAGACATGATTTGTATGTTCAACTTCTTAAAAAGAATAAAGTAAATGAATACACAAGAGTTTTATTGTATAATCAGTGTTACAGTTAACATTTTTACTTCCTCTTTTTCATGGAGGGAGAACAAAAATAAGTAAATGCATGTCTCCCCAAGCAGAAATATGCCGTGGGGTTTCTGCAGCGACGTGTTTCACCTGTCAGCTGCTCGCTGGAGATGGGTTCTCCCGTGATGATCTGACTGATGATGAATAAAAGGAAATCATGTCAATCAGCTCAGACTCACTGGGATGAGTGACTGGGTCGACATGCTTTTTTATTTGTCTCTTTTCCTCCCGATTGTGAGACAAAACAGTCTCTCATGGGCCAGCTGCGTGACGCGCTCTGGGACAGTCCAGCTCTCTCAGCTGTCATCTGCCTCACATCAAACCATCTGCTGATTGCAGAAGGGAACCTCTGCCCACTCCTGTCTGCTGGTGGGCCAAATCTAAGAGGGTTAGGAGCTGGCACCGGTGCTTGGCCGCGTTCACGCCGTCCAACTCAGGTGGTGCAGCTGTCTAATCAGCTGACAGTTCGTTTAATGTGTGATCAGAGTCCAAACAAGGAGAGGAAGAAAATACAGCTTGGTGATACAGAATGATTTTATAAAGTCGTGGAAAGATGTTGTAGAAAAATTAATGATGCAATCTCAGAACATTGCATTGATAAAGATATTTTATTTAGCTCATGTTTTTTTTATCTGGAAAAGAAAAAAACAGTGAAGAAAATACTGGGAGTAAGCGTAAAACAACTGTAAACAACACCTATTTAACAAGTGAGCAAGATTAAAGCTCTTATCTGGAAAAGTTTCCCTCTTTTGCTCTCGAGCAGCGAAGCAAAGATCTAAATCCAATCCTAATGTATTTGTGTAGCACGTTTAAAAACAACATGTCAGCTGACCAAAGTGCTGCACAGAGTAAAAGCGTTTAAACCTATTTAAACCTTCGCACACATAAAACACAAATAAAAACCATCATAAAATAAAAACACCTAAGATCAAACAGAAAGATAAAACAGCCAATAAAACAGAAGCATAGCATGAAAGAACAATCATTGGCCAAAAGCTAAATGAAAGAAATGTGTCTTTAGGCTGGATTTGAACTAAGCCAGTGAAGAAGCCTGGCGTACCACCAGAGGGCGTGCATGAGTCTGGGGCAGCAACCGCTAAGGCACGCTCCCCACAAACTTTATATCTCATTTTGGGAACGTGGAGCAGTAGATGGTCAGCAGACCTCAGTGACATGGAGGGTATGTAGGGGGTGAGCAGCTCTGACAAGTGTAGGGGGACTAGACCATTCAGGGCTTTGGAGGCAAAAGTTAAAACTTGTATTTCATTCGAAAGTGCACAGGAAGTCAGTGAGGATCGGCCAGAATGAGAGTGATGACAGCGTCTGTGTTTGAAAGAGACCTGGCTGCGTTCTGGACTTCCTGTAGTTTGGGTGAGGGCGGATGTTCAACATTCTGATGCTGATTTCATTCCTACCATCTTGTTCATCAGGATGTTTGACCAAACTGGCCCATGCATTGTATTCTTTATTAATGTATCCCTACAATCTGGCTCTGTAACATCTGTTTTCAAACATGCAGTTGTTGAAGCCGTCCTTAAAAAACCAAGTTTGGACTCAGTCTAAAAATTACAGACCCATTTCTAAATGACCCATTATCTCTAAAATATTGGAAAAGGTTGTGGCAGATCAACTCATTACTTCTCTGGAACTACACAACAGTTTTGACAAATTCCAGTCTTGTTTTCATAAAAAGTATTCAACAGAAACAGCTTTGCTTAAAGTTTCCAGTGACATCATGATGTCTGCAGACAACGGGGAATTCACAGAATTAGTAATGTTAGATCTTTCTGCAGCTTTTGACACTGTTGATCACAGCACCTTAATTAACAGACTTCGTGACTCAGTGGGAATCTCTGGAACTGTTCTAGACTGGTTTAGATCGTACCTTTCTAAGAGAAGTTGAAGTGTCTGTATAATCCAAATCAAGTCAGATTCTACCGATCTGTTCTGCGGGGTACCCCAAGGCTCTGATTTGGGTCCACTGTTGTTTCTACTGTACAGACACCCTCTTGGACAGATCATTGATTATTTGCATAATGTCTCTTATCACCTATATGCAGATGACATTCAGCTGTACTGCTCCTTTAAGGATTCTGAAGTACTAGTGTCTATCAGCTATCACCAGCTGGCTAGAAGATAGCTTCCTTCAGTTAAACTCTGAAAAGACTGAATGTCTTATCATGGCCCCTGAGAGCATGGTTCCCCTGATTAGTCAACAACTTGGTCATTTATCCTCTTCCGTCAAGACGGACTTAAGAAATTTGAAGTATATGGATTTTACCCAACGTGTCATGCAGCCAACTCACAGCAGAGGACACACCCTGGACTTGGTCATCACGTATGGCCTGTCCACTGGTGTGTCCTCTGTTGTCGACTTGGCAGTGTCCGATCACTATTGCATATTTTTTAACATCACCAGCGTTATCCAGTGCGGGCCCTCTGTGAGAAATGTAAGGAAGCGTCATCTAACCCCTGAAGTGGCTGCTGGTTTTCTTGAAGCTTTTAACAATATCCCTCCAACTAACGTTTCCACCCCTTGTGATTTTATCAGTGATTTTAACAGAAGACTTGAGTCAGCTCTTAACTTGCTTGCTCCACTCAAAACCAAAAACTTACAGTCAAATCATACATCACCTTGGAGAAATGAAAACCTAAGAAAACTAAAGAGAAACTTCAGAGTGGCGGAGAGGAGATGGAGGAAAAACAAATTAACAATAAATCATCAGATATATTCAGAACTACTAAAACATACAATAATGCCGTAAGGATTCAAGAAACGCATACTTTTCCAAAATCCTCTCAGACCATAAAAATTACCCTAAAATTATTTTCTCCACAATCAATAATATTCTCTAATTCAACTCAGAAAACCCCCTCAAACACTCTCTGTGAGGAGTTTGCAGCCCACTTCAGAGGGAAAGTAGACATCATCAGATGTAATATTTTATCCTCTCAACGTAACATGGTTTAAGACACATCTGAGAGTGTGTGTCTACCTGAGGAAACACTGGACAGTTTTATTCTGGCTGAAGCTGAGTCTTGATAAAGTTTCCTCCTCAGTGAGACCCACCACATGTGTCTTGGACCCTCTTCCCACTAGGTTTTTATAAACAATTTTAAGATTCTTTTAGAGATGAGGTTTTAACTATGATGAATTGCTCCCTTCAGACGGGGGTGTTTCCTGCCACTTTTAAACGGGCGGTGGTGAGGCCCCTGCTGAAGAAGAACAATTTAGACTTACCATTAATTAACTTACCATTTTTAAGCAAAATTTTAGAAAAGCTTGTTTTAATTCAACTTAATGATTTTATCAACACCCATAATGTCTTAGAAAAAATTCAGTCTGGTTTTAGGGTGAACCACAGCACCGAGACGGCCCTTCTGAAGATTTATAGGTTTTTCTCATCTAAAGAACATCGCCAGAGTCCGCCCCATTCTCTCTCGGGCCAATACGGAGACGCTGACGATGCATGCTTTTATCACCAGTAGGATAGACTCCTGTAATGCCCTGCTTCCTGGTCTTCCCAAAAAGAGGATTTCATGTCTACAACTATTACAAAACTCAGCTGCACGTGTCCTGACGAAGACCAGGAGGCGGGAGCACATCACTCTAGTTTTAGAATCACTGCATTTGCTCCCCGTATGTTTCAGGATCGATTTTAAAATACTTTTAACGGTTTGTAAGTGTCTTAACAGTCTTGAGCCTTCTTATCTTTCAGAACTACTTATACCGTTTGAACCCACACGGTCTCTATACTCCTCTGGCAGCCATCTCCTTGTCATCCCTAAAGTCAGGACACATATTCACGGCGAGGCGTCCTTCCACTACCACGGTCCTCGCCTCTGGAACGAGCTGCCAGGGGACCTCAGGGCCGCAGAGAACATTCATGCTTTTAGAAACAGGCTCAAGACCCATCTTTTTAGCTTAGCTCTTAACTGATTACTATCACTTTTTAAATAAATGAATGAATTAATTAAGTTATTTATTTATTTATTTACTTGTTTATGTATTCTTTCTTTATACGTGCTATTTTTAAACTGAGTTTTTTACTAAAGATTTATGATCAACATTATTTTAATATCTATATCACTTTTTATATTAAAATTCTCATTTTAGCTATTATGATTTTATATTTTAACCTTAATTTAACCTTTTTCCCAGTGTTTCCTCTGTGGGTGCCCTCTGCCCCGGGGGCGGTGGTCAGCTGTGGTGGCCTGGGTGCTTTCCAGGTGTGCCTGGGTGGAGGTGGAGGTCTCCGCCCTCCCTGCCCTGGGCGCCCTGTGTTGGTGCCTCGGCTGCTGCTGTGGATCTACTGCTGTTGAGGCGGATGGCTCCCCCGATGGCGTTTCCTTATCCTTATCTTAGCTGGTCTGGCTCATCTGATCTCAATCCACTGTGTTTTATCCAGGGGGGGGGGGCATGTGTGTGTGTGTGTGTGTGTGTGTGTGTGTGTGTGTGTGTGTGTGTGTGTGTGTGTGTGTGTGTGTGTGTGTGTGTGTGTGTGTGTGTGTGTGTGTGTGTGTGTGTGTGTGCTGGAGGATAGTGTTGTGACGGGGTTTTTCTTGTCAGACTGTTTTTAAAATTCTGGGGATGGGAGGGAATGTGGGTATGCGGGGCCTTTTTAATTTGTTAAGCACTTTGAGTTTCATGTATTGTATGATTAAGTGCTATATAAATAAAGTTTGTTTGATTGATTGGTTGGTTGATTGATTGGTTGATCGATTGATTGATTGATTGATTGATTGATTGATTGATTGATTGATTGATTGATTGATTGATTGATTGATTGATTGATTGATTGAGGAATTTGGGTGTTGTTTTTGACCAATCAATGTCTCTTGAAGGCCACTCAAAAACATTGGTCCAAAACTGTTTTTATCACGTAAGAAATATCTCCAAACTGCGAAGATTGGTGTCAAAACATGAACTTGAAATGGTTATCCATGCCGTTATCTCCTCCCAGCTAGATTATTGTAACACAATTTTCACATGTTTTAACAAAAAAAGCACTTGACCACCTTCAGTTGGTCCAGAACTCTGCAGCAAGGCTCCTAACTGGAGCAAACAGAGGAGCACACATCACTCCTATTCTAATGTCTCTGCACTGGTTACCCATCAACTTTAGAGTTCGTTTTAGAATCCTGATTGTAACTTTCAATGCTCTACATCAGGGGTGTCAAACTCAAATTCACACTGGGCTGAAAGGAAAATCTGGGACGAAGTTGTGGGCCAAATTTAATATTTTTTGAAAAAGTGATGGCAAATTTGCACATTTTCTTTATCAACATATATGCAATTTTTAACCTTTTAATTTGGAAACAAACTTATTTTTGCATTAACACTGAATGTGGAATAATCAAATTACACACGAGCAAGTCCATTTTAAATAAAACACATCAGTGGTATTCGTTACTTGTGGTATATTCAGCATTTTTTTTTATCTATTCAGGATTTCTGTTTTCTTGTTTATTCATTTTTCATATTTTTTATTCTCCTTTTTTTCTCCTGTAATAAGTGTCATCGCTGCTGTTGCGTCTAGCTTTCCACACTGAGGAACAATAAAGGGATTTTCTATTCTATTCATCTATCTGCAGCCTTTCCACTTCCTGTTTTACTGTGGGTTAAATCTTTTCTCACGGGCCAATAACAAAATAAAAATATAATTTTATCTTAAATGAAAATGCAACATCTCACCTGATAACTTTCCTGTTTTGGAGCAGAAAAAGAGCATAAAACCAAAATATTTAAAGCTCAGTTTGCTCCACTGATTTACTGTGATGCTCACCCGTTCCAGCCAGATACCTGCATCATGGGGTTGAGGAGCTCTGCTGAGGAGGAGACTCCTGTTGTTTTGTTCATCTTCATCATAATAATGACAGCATTAGATGGCAACAGGTGCTCTCATAGGTTTGTGCTGCTGAACATGTCTGAGCCGCTTGACCACGTTGTTGTGTGTTGGGGAGGAAAAATAAAAACTACAGCAGCCACAGAGTCATTCTGATTTGAGCATGTCGCTGCTCGCTGGAGTTATATCAGCTCTGTCTGGTAGTTAGCTGGAAAATTTTCTCTTTCAGTCGTGAACACATTACTGAGCAGTTAAAATCTCTGTTTCTGGGCTTCAACGTCAGCAAATAGATGAGTAAGCTGGGCGCTGAGTGAGAGGAGTGTTTAGTTTGTCCGAGACAGCGGAGCTGCAGACACCGGCAGCAGACGCAGGAAAAAACACAAAGAAGGGGGCGCTTCGGCTCCACGCTAACGCTACAAAGCATCATGGGAGTTGTAGTCTTTGCAGTAAAATCGGCCAGTGGGTCAGTTTTAATATATTTTTGATATTTATCTCACGGGCCACATAAAATGATCCACGGGCCACATCTGGCACGCAGGCCTTGTGTCTGTCACATGTGCTCTACATGGTCAAGCTCCTCCCTATATTACTGAACTGTTAAAGCCTAAAGCTTGGTTTATGCTTGACACGTCCGCGAGGTTCGCATGGCTCCACGCGGCAAACTTGCGTCATTTTAACAACCACGCCCCTCCACCGCGCCTCCACACGGCCCAAACTTTCCGCACCGCGTACCTAGGAAATTTTCTAACCACGCGGACGGTCGGACACGGAAAAACATGGCGGACTGGCAAGAACTAGTATGGCAGAGGTTTGTAAATACAGACATTTGTATGATTCAGCTCTCAGAGATCACCGTGATCAACATGTTGTTAATAATTCTTGGAGAGAAATAGCTCGCACTGTCGGAAAAGACGAGGACGCTGTTAAAGAATGCTGGAATGCCATGTTGTAAACAACAGTAATTTTAACTTCTACTATGGTGTAGTGTTGGATGCATTCTGTAGAGCTCCATGCTGCCCCCTACAGTTAGGGAGAACATTGGCTCACCGCAGAGACAAGCCGCATGAACCACGCTGCAAGGTGTGAAGCGCGTTCTATCCGCGAGCCGCATCACCAAGCGGAAAGTAAATGCGTCAGGCATAAACCAGGCTTTATGCTCCAACCCTAGCCCTCAGGTCCACCCACCTGAACATTCTAGAACTTCAAAAGACCAGATATAAAAGGTGAGGTGATCGCTCCTTCCAGACTGTTGCACCCCCACTCTGGAATGATCTTCCTTTATCCTTACGTAGCATTGACAGTCTGGACGTCTTTAAAAAAACAGCTAAAGACCCTTTTATTTAAAGCTGCTTTTACCTAAATCTTTTATTTTCCTATTTTGAACTCAAACTTGTAATAATCTTTCATCAGTTTATGAAATTTTATTCTTGTATGACACTATTTATTTCTGATGTTAATCTGTTTCATTATGATTTTATTACTTTATTTTTTTCTGATTTTATTCTATTTCTGTTTTGAGATCATTATGATTTTATGACTTAATTTTATTTTGTTTTGATCCATGTGAAGCACTTTGGGATTCTTTGTCTGTGATAAATGATATATAAATAAAATATACTTACTACTCACTTACTAGTGTGGATATTTTACATTTGTGGCTTATTACAAATCAGAGTTGGCTCGTGTTAGTTAGCTTGTTGTTAGCGCTAGCTACAGCATGCTGCTGCAGGGTTGTGTATGACAGATGCTGGTGAAGGTTCTCAGTAATCTAGGTCATGGTAATCCAAAGGGTTTAAATGAAGGCAGCTGGACTTGAAGGCAACTGGTTTCATGAAGTCGTTTCACTTCTCATCCGAGATTTTTCAATTCTGATTGGGACATGGGAGGGTCAAGCCTATTAACTGTAGCTGTCCACTGTTTCTTAATAAACAGGCTGAAAGTACCTATGAATACCCCTCCTCCCTTCCCCCAAATGAGTTGTTAATGTCGTTGGGACCAATTGTGTAGGAATGGTTGTTTTGATTCGATGGAGAGGGTGTGACCTAGCCTTAAACTGTTTTGGAATTAACGCAGCATTGTACTGGAAAGGGGAAACCTGAGGCCTCCTCCGCTGTTTCATGTTGGTTTTTCCCGTTTAACATAGATGCCTTCCTTTTACTCCTCTCTTAAACCATTTATCTTCTCTGTCCAGAATGTGTTTTGTAACGAGCTGAAACTACTTATGAATACCCCTCCTCCTTACCTCCCCTACCTCTAAAGTACTCCACCCATACTGCATTGCGTGTCGAGGTCGCGCGCACACACACACACACACACACACACACACACACACACACACACACACACGCACACACACTGAGACACAAGATGTCATGGTCTTCGTTCTGCGTCTCCGTCATGTGTCACCTTGTGTTCTCCATCCCTCTCTAGGTTCTCCTTATGTGTCTCCTTGTGTTCCTCGTGTCTCGTGTTCCCCAGCCTACTCCAGATTTTATCTCTTAGGTGTTCCCCCAGGACTCTGTGTCCCTGTAGTTTCCCAGCCCCCTCCAGGTTTCCCTCATGTTTTCCCTTAGTCACCTCACTTGTCATTAGTCTTCTGTTAGTGTTATCTAGTCAGTATTCTCCCTTTGGTTCAATTTGCTCCCTTCCCCATTTTTAGGTCTGGTTTCTTCCCCTGCTCTGTTGTGCTCCTCCTCTCTGTTTATTAGTCTCACCTGTGCACAATTCCCTAATCACCCAGCCCTTGTGTATATAAACCTGCCTGCGTCTCAGTATGTTGTTGGTCCATTGTCCTTGTCAGTGGCTTATTGCCCTCTTAGATTCTAGGTTTTTTGTCTAAATCATTCTTAATAAAGAATGTTTTCTTTTACATCCTCTCCTGCCTCGTGTCGTTCTGGATATCTGCGTATTGGGTCCTACTCCTCCAACCCACAAGGTGACACAAGATGGTGGTCCAGAATTTCCTCTAAGTCTACAGAAGTCCTTGTTTTTTGTCAGTTGTTTCCCTAAGATACACAATAAATATATCATTATTGTATCTATTTTTTAAACTGGTTTATTTCCAGTTGAATTAACTAATACGTTTAAAATATATCTTAAATGTTTCTTTGTTAATTCAAACAGACAAGACAAACAGTAATGCTTATATAAATGTATCACTTTTTGCACAATAACATGAAATATTTCTTTGTCAACAAAAACACATTTTTCCTAAATGTATCTCTTTTTTTCTTCTGAGGTGTAACAATGCAGAAATAAGTGTTGGAGCTAAACAATGAGTTGATAATAAATTCATACATTTCATACAAATAGCAGCATTCTGCAACAGAAAGCAAAAAAAACTACAAGCCTTAATGAACACATTTTACAGCAAACACTAAATAAATATAAAATACATGACACAAAAATATATATAACTAAATTATTTGTACATGAATAGGTTAGTTTTGCTCTAGCAGACAGGAGTATTGCATTTGGTTTTTAGAAATGTGCAGAAGATACGAGATTCAAAATGTCTGACATCAAAAATGTGTGCATTTTATTCGTGAGCAGAAAAGTTATGAACAATCAGGTTTCACGTTTTTTTACTTAAACACCGATTAAAGAGACAAAATTTGAAGGTTTGAAAATCAAAAGTTAATAATGCTGAGTTGTTTCCTGACTCAACACTGACCTTCTTCTCCAATTTACTTCTAAAATATAAAAAAGCATGAAAACTGAGATTAGTAGACATGTAGAGCTGAAAAAGACATTACAATAATATTTCCTTCAAACTTTTATGCATGAATGTTGTAAACAATCAGAATACAATAAAAGCAAGAAAACAAAGTAGAAGAAAGAAGCTTTTAGCACAATCAAATCAGCATCTACATCCAGATGTTCCTCTTTTGTTGTAATAAATCTGTAAAATATTAGGACAAATATAACTTTAAAGAAAAGACTAAATATGGTGATATCGTGATAAGATTTTATTACCTATATTTTTCTAATCGTTGGCATTCCAAGTATTTCCAAAAGAACCCTTTGACATCTCATCTGTGATGTTGATAATTGGTATCCCTCTACAAAAATAAAAAGATAACAGATAGTGGTTCATTAATATTAATAATAATAATAATCATCATCATCATAATTATTATTATGATTTTTATTATTATTTAACTCTCAAAAATGCAGAACAACTTACTTATACCCCCCTAATGGCACTTGCACGACTCCTTCCTCTTCTGCAAGTATACTCAGCTCCTCTTCCTCCTGAAGGTAAAACAGTCACGTTTTGAAACTGGCATTAAATGAAATTGAAAGTAATATGCTTGCAGATGAGCTGGGTTGTGAATTCAACATCACCTCATCTGCATCTTCAAGCTTCTTCTTTTTGCTTTCTGGCATGAGGTCATCCAGCCAGCTCAGCTCTCTCTTGGTAAAAATACAGTCCATCAATTTCCTAATGAACACCAGAGCCAGCACCTGCATGGCATACAAGAAGGCCGAATGTAAGACGATTATCAGGAATGTGTTTTCAATTCAATTCAAGTTTATTTATATAGCGTCAAATCACGACTAAAGTCTCAAGGCACTTCACAAAGTAAACATTCCAGTACAGGTCAGTTCATTAAGCCAGTCAGTAAAGGGTTTCTTATATAAGGAACCCAGTGTAGCGTTATGAATATTATAATTGTCTGCCCTTAACAGCTGCCCCTTCACACAGTAACATCGCCAAGGTCGGACGCTTGGTTCAGTATGTTTACATTCCAGGAGAAGAGACAGAAGAAGAGAAGAAGAACGCTTTCCATTGATTAATCAAAGTACTTTATTTGGGATAAACTAATCAAAGCATATGTTGATCATTAATAATCAGGTGAATGATCTGTGAAATAAAGATGTCATGAGTTATGTGTTTAATGAATAAACAGGACTGCACCAGACAGACTGATCTACATTACCATGGAAACGCATGACACATTGTTTTCAACCAATCAGAACTTTCGTCTGTCGTAGAGAGAATCTGGGATGTTTATTAATCTGTCCAATCCGGTTTACTAAGATTGGTAAACAATTAGGGGATATAAAACAAGGCAACGCCACTTTATACTCAGTTCCATGTTAACCTCAGTTCCGTTCATGTGGAGGTCCTAAGGATTTCCATCGTCATCATTCAGAAAGTTACAGGCTGGCCAGCTGTACTTTCTACTTTAAGCTGAGAACTGTCAAGCTGGAGATTTCCGTCGTTTGAACCAACAAGACGACGTTCCTTCAAAATAAGAGTGAACTTGCTGACGCCTGCCGACTGCTACCGGAGCCGACCCACAGACGGGCTTTGTAGTGCTGCGACCGCTGTTTCACCAGCTCCGGTACATCCGAGGTCCGAGGACCTGGCATTTCCTGATCTACACGGGAGACTCCATAGGTACGTGGTCACGGCACAAAATGGCGGCTCATGTCATCAGCTTCTGAAGCCTCGTGGTAGCCTAGTCATAACAACCAGATTCGCTACGGCAGCCTAGAGATTCTGAACAAAACACACACCCACACACCAACACTATAACATTCAAATCCATATGCATCCATCATTGAGATAGTCCTGGTAGATTGTAAGAATTTATAATTATTGAAATTAAAGACTCTTAAACGATCCCAACTCTCTCTTTTCTTGACTCTCAATCAATACAGAGTGTTTAAGTAAACTCCCTGATGATAAAAACAACCACTTCTGATTATAATACTTAGATCTAATTACAGTGTATAAATATACAACTTCAGATCATTACACCAGCAAATTGCATCCAGTCACTGACGTGCAAGTATATGTGCAGATTTGCCACTGCAGCTTTGAAGCTGCTATAGCAAATCTGGAAAACAAATTTGCTCAAAAGATTTTTTCATGTCTCCTAAAAACGTTCTAACGTAGAATAGCTATAAATATATTGTACATTTAAAAACAAATGAAAAGGTTAATAAAGTGATTCTTTCGCATTTGTCTAAAAACCTCTGCCAATAACACGTTTCACACCAACAGCAACCATCGGACCATCAGGTTATCGTTTTTTGGGTGCTAAAAGTGGTGTTTAGAACTCTCTCGTTTCCGCCAGCAGCGAGTGCTCCTGTTCCAGCGTACGTGGCCCAGGGACGACAGCTAACAGGAGGGGGGGGGGGAGTTCCGTGTTTGTGTTTAAAAGCTAGCTTGTTTTCTATATTTGCTATTGCAGCTTTAATAATGTTTGTGACATTTAGTCTTTCTGAAAAAGAAAAACAAGTTTAGCCTTTATGCTCAACCCGGTTCAACCAGAAATGCGCAATGAACACGCCCAGAAGGAGGGAAAAAAGGCTAATCCTACAAATAGGAGGCAGTGCTGAGCTCCACAAACACATGGCTCTGTGATCTTCTTAAAAAGGTAGTGATGACAGGTCTGTAGCTAATGAACATAATAGAATAGCATAGAATAGAATAGAATAGAATAGAATAGAATAGAATAGAATAGAATAGAATAGAATAGAATAGAATTTATTTTCCCAGTGGGTAAACTTTATTCGAAGTTGTTCTGTTTACGACTCATAACTATAATTTTTCTAAACTGGACTTTCAGTGAAAATGAGGAGATATTCTCCTGTGAACTTCACGTACAAATAAAGATTAGATCATACACAATTTTCTAGTTTAAATAAACAAAAAGAGAGAAATCAGCCCATCTAAATACATTTCAATAAACAACTAAATTGACTGAATACCCCGAGGTTTCAGTGCCTCCCAGTCATGAACCTCATTGCCTCAAACTGGACTGTTTACCCACCATCATGGGAAAAACGATGGCAGCCTTTGATGTCTTGATGACCCACAGCAGAACCAGACAGCTGAGCTGGATGATGGTGAAGAGGTGCACCTTCCTCAGAGGAACATGGCGTAAGTAGATAAAATCTGGCTGATGTTTAGCCGGCATCCCAAACAAGGTGAGACGATCGTAGAACTGCCAGGGAATACGAAAAAAATACAAGTCTTCAGTTAGAACTTTTTTATTTATGAACCATTTAGGTCTTGTTCTGTTTTTGTGGGGAAAAGAGCTGTAATGTTTCTTCCTGTCTTTTGTCTATTTAAAAAAAATAAGACTGAATGAATTACAAAACTTCTGATTGTAATGTTCAGTTACAGCTTGCTGGAAGAAGAAGAGGAACAACTTTTCAACTACTGCAAATACTGGGAACACACTAGAGACCAATTATTATTATTATTATTATTATTATTATTATTATTATTATTATTATTTACATGGCACACCTGGCGCCCCCATTGAGTGGCAGCCTGTTGCAGCAGCTCTGCTCCTTTCTGAGCTTCTTCTGATTCTCTACTATTTTTCTTGAGTTTCTTAGTTTTTTTTTAGGTTTTTCATTAGGAGCAACACAAACATGCACTACTGGGTAGTGTTCGCTCTGGCTATTGTTTGGTATTTTTTGTTTGTTTGTTTTTTTCGTCGGTGTTTGGCGACATGGCGGGTGGCCGTCTTGTTTACAACCGAGAGCAGCTACTGGCACTGAAACCCGCAGCGATGCGTGTGGCGGACAGACCTGACATCCCCGGAGAGTTGAAGAGGAAAAGACGGGGGAAGAGGAAAAGACGGGGGTGCCGAGCAGGGAGGGAGCGTCATCGCCCACGAAGGAAACGGTATAGACCATCCCTACCTTCCATCACTATGGGGAATGTGCGATCTCTCTCCAACAAGATGGATGAACTTGCTGGGCTGATTCGGTACCGGACTGAATTCAGGCAGTCGAGCATGATGATGTGTACAGAGACCTGGTTAACATCGCTTATCCCCGACTCAAACATCTCACTTCCTGGATTTGTAGTGCGGGCAGACAGGACAGAGGGAAGGGGAGGGGAGGGGGCTGGCGATGTTTGTAAACAATGGATGGTGCCACCCGGATCATATTACATTGAAGGAGCAACTCTGCAGCAGGGATATTGAGCTACTGGCAGCGAGTATGCGACCTTATTACCTCCCTCAGGAATTCTCGCATGTTATCGTCGTAACTGCGAGTGCTCCACCCTCGGCGAATGCAGAGGCTGCCTGTGACTCTCTCCTCTCTGTAGTTAGCAGACTTCAGACACAATCTGCACAAGCACTGGTTTTAATATCAGGGGATTTTAATCATGAATCATTGGACTCCGTTTTCCCCACTTTCACCCAGTATGTGACATCCCCCACCAGAGACGATAAAACATTGGATTTATCGTATGCTAATGTTAAAGATGCATAAAGTTTGTCATCTCTCCCCCCCCCCTTGGAACATCTGATCATAATGTAGTGCACCTTGTCCCTGAGCATGAACCCTTAGTGCGGAGGGTGCCTACAGACACCCACACAGTTCAGAGATGGTCCACGGAGAGTGAGGAAGCTCTAAAGGACCGCTTTGAGTCTACTGTGTGGGAGGTGTTCTGTGATGATCATGGGGAGGACATTGACAGCCTGGTGACTTGTATTACGGACTGTATCACTTTTTGTGTAGAAAACACTGTACCTGTTAAAACTGTACGTGTCTTCTCAAACAACAAACCATGGATTACTCCACAGATAAAAACAGTCCTTAAGGAAAAAGAGGGCATTCAAATCGGGTGATAGAGAGGAGCTGAAAAGGGTGCAAACAGAGCTGAGGAAACTGTTCAGAGAGGAAAAAAACAACTACAGGAGGAGGATGGAGGATCAACTTCAGCAGAGCGATGTGAGGGGAGTTTGGAGAAGCCTGAGGAACATCTCTGGCCACAAGGAAAAGAGCCCTTTGTCGGGGGGTGGGGGTGGGGGTAATGTGGGCGAACAAATTAAATCTATTTTTTAATAAGTTTGATTATTCAGCTTCAGTCACTCCATCTGTACAGCCCCCTCTGACGCAGTACCCACCATCTGGAACAGCGATAGCTGATGCTCCTTCAGAACGCGGCTCCAGCCTGCTGGTTTCAGCTACACAGGTCACGCTGGAGCTGAAGAGGATTAACACCAGGAAGGCAGCAGGTCCGGATGGTATCAGCTCAAGTGTCGTTGGGCTCTGTGCGGACCAGCTGTGTGAGGTGTTGGCATACATCTTTAACCTGAGTCTAAGGCTGGGCAAGGTACCAGAACTTTGGAAGACCTCATGTGTGGTACCTGTGCCAAAAAAGCCACATCCAAAAGATCTAAATGATTACAGGCCGGTGGCCCTGACTTCCCACCTAATCAAGACTCTGGAGCAGCTGGTCCTCACGCAGCTTAGGCCTCAGGTGAGATTATCTTTGGATCCACTGCAGTTTGCATACCAGCCTGGCATTGGGGTGGAGGATGCAATTATCCATCTTCTGCATCGCTCCCTTTTCCACCTCGATGGCAAGGGAAGTACTGTGAGGATCATGTTTTTTGGTTTCTCAAGTGCTTTTAATACTATCCGACCAGAGATCCTGAGGGACAAGCTGGAACATTTGGGAGTGGAGCAGCACCTCACGTCATGGATCTTTGACTACCTCATGAATAGACCACAGTGTGTGAGGACTCTGGGCTGTGTGTCGGACAGAATTATCT